TCTTCAGCCTTCCCCTGCGGACTGAAGACAGCAGCACTGCAGGCCTTCAGCACCAGACCGTGGCAGCGCTGCTGAGGCATGCAGCTTCATGAGCTGAGCAGCTGTCGGGTGTTCTCGGCCTTTCCTGTGCAGCAGCCGTCGTTGGCCTCCCCAGCAGGTACTGTGTAAGCCATCCTAATAAATCCCCCCTTGTAATATCCACTGTAGATTCACTTCCTCTAGTCCTGCAGTTCTCAACAGAGGTCACCTAAGCCCATCAGAAAACACAGATATTTATGATTCATAACAGTAGCAAAATTACAGTTATGAAGTAGCAATGAAAGGAATTTATGGTTGAGGTCACCACAACATGCAGAATTTAAGGGCCCGCAGCATTTGAAAGGTTGAAAACCCCTGCTCTAGACACTCCTAACAGAGTTGCTGCTCCACGTACCAACCTCTCTGAGATGTGGACAGGTACAGATCACATTCATCAAGTTTCATACAGAAATGAGGACTTGGTTGGAAATGGGACTGGAAGCCATTTGTGTTATATTCAAGCAAGTGTGCACGTGCGCGCACACACACACACAAAATCATGTCCACATATTGTCCATCCCCCCCCTAAGACAGTGTATGAGACTGAATCTAAAGGATAAATTGTTTATCAGGTGGAGGAAATTTCAAGGCAGTAAGACACACAGGTGGTGGCATCCATGTCACCAGCTCTGAGCTAAGTTTTCAGAGACAACTGGAGCAAGAAGTGGAGCAGAGGCATAAACTTATTTGAGAGACTTTGAGAAGGGAGATCCTGATTGTTCTGGCGCATGGGACTCCATAGGGAAGTTTCTCCATACTCAACCATCCCGAACCCCCAGAAGCACTGGCATTCTCCGTGTGAGGCTGGGTCTTCAGGTATACAAAAGCAAACCTTGTGAAGTCAGGAAGGCTTCCTTCAGATCAGAAGGGAAGGTGTAAGGAGGTCCGGAGGTCTGGCGATGCATGGCAGGGTCAGAACCCCTGGAGATAGTAACGCACACAGCTATTTAAAAAAAAAAAAAAAAGCCAAAACTGCAGTGGAGACTCTAGAACATTTGAGATGGCAGGAACAATGACTCCTCTGAAGATAGCCGCAGGCAGTAAACAGACCCAGCCTACTAGGAGAGCCGTGTGGGCTGCACAGGGCAAGGCCACAGGGACAGGGCTGCCCAGCACATCATGGCTGACAACACCCCAGGTGCAGGACTCGGAGCTACAGGATGATTTGCAGTGCAGGGCAAAGGTCATGCTTTAGTCTTGCTATTTCCATGCTGCAATTCCCCTATTTAGATTTTTATTATTCTTGTAATTTTTATGTGTGTGTGCAGGTGGTGTGTGGACAGACATAGGCCACAGGGCATGTGGAAGTCAGAGGAAATGTCGTGGACTTGGTTCTCTCTGTCCACCTTCCTGTGGGTTCCAGAGACTGAACTCAGGTCATCAGGCTGTGCTCACTGAATCATCCCCATTGTTTCTTAAAGCATGTACCTTGTTTGTTGATATTTTTCACAGTGGTCCCCAGCTTAGAACCTCTTTGGAGGAGACTTGGGACTTGCACAATGGGACACTGATGATACCTTGGAGACTCTTGAGAAAAGACTAACTGAAATTTCCATTAGAAAATGGACATAAGTTTCTGAGGGCAGAATGTTAGGATTTGGATACAAAATACCTCCCCCCAACCCGCCTCACACACACACACACAAATGCTAACACCTTATTTGCCCTAGGCTCATCTCCATTGCAGCAACCGGAGGGCTTTTAGGGAGGTGCTAGGATAGTAAATACTCTGGATCTAATCAACAGATTTGTTGATATTATGTTTATATCAAATAATGATAGATTCACAATTTGATGGCATTGAGGTGGTAAAAACTCGGAGAGAGGGCCTGGCTAGAGGAAGCAGGTGACTGGAGGTGTCTGCCTCTGAACGTCCATCTCAGCCCCAGCCCTTCGTCTGTCGTCCTCTGTCTACCGCGAAGAACAGTAGCCACCATGACCTTCCACCACAGAGTTTCTGCCTTGCTGAAAGGCAACAAATCCGCCCAGCCTTGGGTTGGAACCTCAAAACTAAAACAACTCAAAACTAAAATAACTCTTCCCCTTGTATTCTTCTCAAACATCTGTCAGAGAAACAGTGACACAAAAATCCCATCCCCAGACATTTAGTCACCAAATGTCTCACTGGAAATAAGACGCCGAGACTCTCACAAGATTGGACAGATGGAGTGTGATACGGCTGTGGCAAATCCCATGGGATTCAGCAGGAAATGATTGTCCATGTCCACTCAAGTCTTTTATGATGTTGTATATTGTGTTACCAAAAAGAAAGTTTTTAAATTTATTTGTATGGGAGTTTTGTCTGCACATATGTCTGCACTCCGCATTTATGCCTGGTGCTTGAGGAGGCCAAAAAAGGACATCAGATCCTCTGGGACCTGAGTTATAAACAGTGTGTATGTGTATGAGTCACCATGTCAGCGCTGAGAATTGAACCTTTAGTCTTCTGGAAGAACAGTGGGTGCTTTTAACCATTGAGCCATCTCTCCATCCCCAAATGTTTATTTTTAAAGATTTTTTGAGAGGACAGTGTCTCACTGTGAACTCCTGCTAGCCTGGAACTTACAGAGATCTGTCTGCTTTTGTCTCCCAAGTGCTGGGCTTGTATTACCATGCCCTCACAGACTTTTTTTTTAATGAACAGGATATGTGCTCTTGTGTGCAGGTGCTCACAGGGTCTAGCAGAGCGCACCAGACCCTCAGAAGTCAGAGTTGAGGGCAGTTGTGTGTGGCCTTGTGCGGGTGCTGGGACTGAATCTGTGCCTTCTGCAAGAGCAATTGTGCCTTCCTAACCACTGAGTCATTTCTCCAGTGTCTCCCAAATGTCCATGATATAAGGAATTTATGAGGCAAAGGAGGTTATTATTATAGTCACGTATCTGTATGCTAGTTTTCCAGGGACCCAGATCTATTGCTTCTACTAGCTTTTGTTGTTTGTTTTTAAGAAATTTGTGGCCATGAATTTAATTTTTTTAAAAGAAATGTTTAAAGAGATTTTTCGTCTGAATGAATATCTGATTTTCTGAACCTGTCCACCAGTTAATGTCTACAGTATAGTAGCTGAGCTAATGCTAAGCTTCTATGTCAGAAAGACACATACATACCAGCAGTGGCTACTAAGTATTCTTAAGTTCATTATTCTCAAGCAGGTGTTCAGCAGAATCACTGGGACAGCATGTTAAAAACAGATTGCTGGGCTCCAGCCTCAGATTTTTCCCCCTTTTTTGAAAATAGATTATTTTTTCATATAATATATCCTGATTACAGCTTCCCCTCCCTCCACTCCTCCCATTCCCTTGTCACCTCCTCTCACACCCAGATCCACTCTTTCTGTCTTTAGAAGAGAAGAGAACAGGTTTCTAAGAGATAATAATAAAATACAACAAAATAAAATATGATAAGGTAAAACAAAAACAACTATCACATCAAAGTTGGACAAGACAAACCAACAGAAGGAAAGGGGCTCACGGGAAGGCACAAGAACCAGAGACCCAGTCTTCCACGCCCTCAGGAATCCCATTGACACACCGACCTGGAAGCAATCATATATAAGCAGACGGCCTGGTGCGGACCCCTGCAGGCCCTGCGCATGCTGCTTCAGTCTCTGAGTTCATGCAGCTTTGCTCGTACTGACTTAGAGGGCCTTGTTTCTTTGGTGTCCTCCATCCCCTCTGGTTCTTCTACTCTTTCTGTCTCCTCTTCTTCGGGGTCCCATAAATGCTGGGGAAAAGGGATCTGATGGTTGAATGTTCTGATTTAGGGCAAGTGTCCCAAGTCTCTCACTCTCTGTGTCAGGTCTGGTCTCTCTGTTCCCATCCCCTCAGATTTTCTTACTCAGTCCTTATATGACATATAGCATTTTGTATATATGACCGTGGTCTCATATGATTATAATGAGTTGAATTTTCTTATCACTTAGTGACATCATAGCTATCATGTAATATATAAGCATGTAAAGGAACCTGTTGCTGCCGAAGTGTAACACATACAGTTGTATACAGTATATAGTACTTGATAATAGCCGTGTTGATGGTTGTGTACTTACCATACTCTGTTTCAGTCATTATTTTAGTGTGTACTCCTTCTAGTTACTTATTTTTTTAAGTTTACTGTAAATACATATATATATATATATATATATATATATATATATATATGTCTTCTTGCCCTGGATCAGGCAACAACTGTGTAGCGCTAGGCCTCCTGAAGTGACTCACTTCCACTCCCCAGGTTTACGTGGCCACACTCCCACAGCAACAGAAATACTCAACATTTCTCAGAATGTATGACTGTGGCGCTGGGACAAGAGCTGTCAATTTTCCTTTCTCTGTGAGCGTGTGTATGAGTGTATCTGTCTGCTGTCTGTCTGTCTGTGCCTGTCTGTACATGCATGTGTGTGCAGTAGGAAGTCAGTCGGGGAGCCTCTGGAACTGGAGTTGCAGGCGATTGGGAACTGAACTCCAGTCCTCTGAAAGAGCAGAGAGCACTCTTAACCCCTGAGCCATCTCCCCAGCCCCTCAACTTCAATTTTTTAAACTTTCTAGGTGATTCTGCTACTGCTGGTCCTGAGGCCACCCTTTGTCACCCGCCGTTTGAAATAGAAGTTAGGTATAGAAATGGTCCTGAAGATAATTTGCCATCAAGCCTTCACTGGTTTCTGATTTGCACGGCAAAACCTAGGCTATGTTGACAGTCTGTTCTGCTTTGGGTTCAAAAGTTCCTAAAAGAAAAAAAAAATCCCCAATTTAAGAAAAACAAAACCTTAGAAAGTAATGACCTTCTCATTTTGAAAATGTCAAAGTTCTGGATCCCGAAGCTAGCCCCAGTTCCCCCAGTCTTCACTCTTCTGTTACTTCTGGAAGCTGTGACACTGTTTGCACCCAGAGAAAACAAATAACAACACAGGAAGCTTGAGGTAGCCTTAGGCCAATTCCTTTGGAAAGCACATTTTAATTCCATTACACAAATCAGTGGAAGTTGAGAAGGTGCTTAAGTAATTCCAACCAGAAATTGACAAAGAGAAATGTCTTGCTCTTGTGGGCAGGTTCCGAATATCTGGGAAATAAACAACTGACTCCAACTGGAACAATATGTCAAGCAGGCGTGTTCCCTTTCTTATTATTGTCCTCAGACATTGAGCCTGGACAGAAATTACCTGTAAAAGAACAAGGCACGATCCCTCCGTGCTGTGCTGCTCAATGCCATGACAATTTTAGATGGTCACCCTCGTGATACCAAACAGACTGATCCTCGGCCTCTGGTGGAAACAGCCACAGGGACTCCCGTGTACTGACAGGCATTGCTGGTCATCAAGAACCACAGGCCTCATTTCAGAATCAGACAAGATTCCCGCTCACCTTCTTCCTCATCTGAACCATCTTCTCTGCTATCATGGGCTCTGCCTTAGTAGCTAAAGGTTATGGTTAATGTCTAAACTTCTTAGATCTGTGACCATCCTTCCTGTTCCCTCCCTCACTTATCCTCCACCATAGAATACCTCCTAACCAAGGACAAGACAGGACCGCCATCAGCTTGTTCCTGTTCTCAAGGCCTGTCCTCAGCACTCACTCCTAGATCGGCCACTCCTGACTGATGGTCTTCCCTGACATGAAGATGCAAATGGATGCAGAGTGAACGAGAAAGAACTAATTGGATGATATCTAAGTGCTCCATTAGATGCACCCATTACCAACAGATGTAGGGATTGAGAAAGAATGAGACTCACGGAGAGGCTATGAAAATGACATCTGCTCTTGTAAAAGCCAAGGGATTCAAATCTTAAAACTGAAAGACAAACACTAGAAACAGCAATGCACACACGCGCACACACAGACACACACACAGAGTTTTCAGTGCTGGGACTCGAACCCAGGCCTTCTCATAAGCATTCTACCATTGAGCAGCATTCCATCCAGTCCCCTTATACACACAGACTCTTGGCTGCATGCTTGATGCCATATTCAATCCCAGCATCCTAGGATGTTGATATAAAAGCTGGGAATATAACTCAGTTGGTAGTGGCTCGCCTAGCATGTGTGAAGTCCCGGGTTCTATTTCCAGCACTGTATAAACCAGGTATGATAGCACATGCCTGTAATTCTAGCACCTGAGAGGCAGAGGCAAAGGGAGATCAGAGTTCAAGTCATCCTTGGCTACATAGTAAGTTTAGGGCCATCCTGGGCTACATGAGACCCTGTCTTTCAAAAGAGTTAAAAGAAAATTGACAATTGAAATAGACCTTCCAAGTAGCTGGTCCAAACTCATCATTTTTCAAACAACAACAACAAAAAACTAAACTCCAGAGGGGAAAAAATGTGGCTTTCAACGTTTAAAAGATTTAGTTGCAGCCCTGAAGTCAGGACTCATCGAGATCACTGTTAATAGGTCTCTTTTCTTTAGGTGATGGGGCTCGGTTTTTATTGTTCTCCTTGAGAAAGGCCCAGTATGTCCACGTACCCATCCTCGCATGTTTCCCAGAAGAGGGAACCCTTAGAGGCCCAGCAAGGGAGAGGCAGGTTACGAAGATGCCCCAAGGGAGTGCCTGTCGCCCACACAGTCTGTGGGCTTCTTATGCTCTCCTCTGCCATCATGAGATCACAAATATAATAATGCAAGTGTTTATGCACATGCTCCTTTAGAGTGGTGAACCTCATCATAGTTTTGGGTGTCCCCAGAGAGAATCAAATAACATTGCACTTGCACCTCTCAGATTAAAGGCTGAGATAAAATGAGGTCGTATAACCCACAGGAGAACAGGCCACACATGCAGACCCAACTGGCCTGTCATTCCTCCCCAACACTTTGCTGGGCAGACTAATGGGAATGATTCTTTCACAAGACACCCAAGAGGTAGATAAAGACAGTCAGCCCCATGGATGGGTGTAGCACACAGAGGCAAGGGATTGAGGTGTGTGGAGGTTCCTGGGAAGAGGAGCAGAAGACCTGGGGAGTGGGGATAGACCTCTCCCCTGAGGGGAAAGCGTTTGGTCATGAGCGATCTCCTCAGTGCATAGCAAAAGTCTGTAACAGAGAGAACGTGGAGTGGGAGGTAAGAGCCGCAACAATGACACTTCTACACAAATCCTGCCATTGTGAGCTTGGCGGTGCTGGCACGTCCCCAGGCCATGAGGACCCCTGAGTGGCCCTGCCATCTTCATGCCAAAGAGCCAGGTGGCAAGGACTTTCCTTATGAGAAAGCCATGGCAGGGCTGAGGTGATGGCAAAAGACGCAGGCAACTCTTGAGGACTCGATTCTCCCCAAAGGCCGCCACCGTCAGCCTGAGGGAAGGGAGTGGGCAGAGGCGCAAATGACACAACTGGGCTTCAAAGCCAAGCAGTTCCTACCGGAACTGTTGACAGGACCAAGAACCAGAAACTTACAAACGCAGTATAGAGCCAGGGCTTGGCATTGCTTCCTCTGGAACGAAACACCTCAGCCCTGCCCTTCTCTTCTGGGAGAAGGACCTGACATGGCAAGGGGGCTTCTCAGGTATTGAAGGGCACTGCTCAGCCTCCAGTTCCCCTCAAGCCAAGCAGAGAGAATCCCTTCAGGGGGGATTCTGAGGACAAAGGCTGTGGAGCACTGCCTTTGGGGACACATGACAAGTCTTAAATTACACATTTCCCCACCCCCAACACACACATATCTATAAACACACACAGAGATACACTCCCACACAGTGACACTTTCCAGTCCATCCCGATCCATGCCCCAAATCCCACCCACAAATACTGTCCCCTGTAAACATGACGGCAGAGACTCCCACAACCCTGGACTAGTCTGACAATGGTCTAAGGATGACCTCTTCTCGTTAGGTGCCCCGGTAGGTAATATTGGTGAAGGTGGAGGTGGCCTCTTTAAACAGGGGGTTGTTTGCCTGCAAAGAGAACACAGAGAAGCCCACGGTCAGTTCCTTGCACTTCCTCACTCTCAGCCGTTGAACTTCATCTGAGACTTTAGCCCAAGACCTCCTTCTCTAGAGCGCACTGTCAGGGGCAGCCGGTGTCATATTTACACTTTTGCTCCGAGGACGGGACTGGACAGGAAATAAGGAGAGGCGAGATGGTGAGCTGCGAGCCTGCTGCTGCTTCTGAGGGCCTCTAATCTAGCCTGGAGCTCTTGGTGGTGGGTGCCCATTAGCTCTCGGCAGTCCCCAAACAATACGCCATTTTACCCAGTCTCTCCTGTCTCTTCTTCTCTCCCTAGCCTGTATTCTCCTCCATCGAGGCAGTGCCAGGCGATGTGAGCCAGAAAGGAAGATGTAGGGGTCAGAACACAGAGCTTTGCTGGAATAATTCTTAGCTTATTTGATCTCATCTCTTGAATCACTGGCTACCCGCTAACCTGTTGCGTACTCAGGAAAACAGAAGGCCTTCACTGGCTTTCCAAAATTACTTCCCAACAAAAAGTGATGAATCCTCCCCACACCCAATAGTAGTTCAAGAAATTTAGAACACTCTTGGATCCCTTGGTGGCGCAAAATGTTCTACATAGCCATAAAAACATAGAACCATCTCTGTCTGCTTCTTGGGTCCAGTGGAGACAAAGTCTGGGGTCACCAGGAATAAAGTTTCTGCCTCACTCTGGACACTCTAGAGTCAAACAGTCACTTGGCAGGCCCAGGAAAAATAAAATGAGCAAAAGGAGAACGGACTAAAATTAAATACACAGATGGTTCTGAAATAACGCCCGTTTGATAGGCTGGCAAGCCGGCAGAGCGGCGGTAAAGCACCGGTTGCGCACCGTGATGAGCCTGAGTTTGAGCCTCAGATCCCACAAGGAAAAGAGAACTGACTCCTGCAAGTTGTGCCCTGACCTCAGCACAAATGCATGGCGCGCATGCGCCCTCACACAAACTGTTTTTTAAGTCTCATTTGGTTAAATCGGGATAAACTGCATTCTGGGCTCCCCAGAGAAGCCGAATTTGGAAGGAGAGAGTGAAGGAAACCAATATCCTGCCACTACATCTAGGAGGTTGACCCGGAAAGGGATTCCTATAGTCACCGAATTCCTTCTGTGTCAGGCGAGCCCCTTCAATTCTCTGCCCTCAGCTTCCTTAACTATCGAATGGGATGGTAATACTGTCCATCAAAGGGGCTTTTACAGAGATAAAGCAAAGGAAGGTGTCCAAAGCATTGAGAACACTTCTTGGTGCGCAGCCCTCAGTAAATGTTAGCTATTCTGTTGCTTTCTGTTCACGTTTAAACTTGGGACTCCCTCACAGCAATACAGTGTGCTCTATGTTCGTGATGTGGATTTGTCCTGTCTCCCTCCGCTGGAGGGTAAGCATCTCCTCTCATCACAGTTGCCTACGTGTGCAGACAATGATCATGACATGTGGTCACTGTATAGCAGAGGACTCCATGAAGTATAAAGACAAAAGGACAGTCAAACCGTCTCCCAAGATCTAGAACAGAGGACAGCCAGGGAACGGCTGTCGGGGCCGACTCCAACCACTGTGAGCATCTGCTGCCTCAACCTCACTTCTTGAACCAAAGACTTAAGAAAACACGAAGCCCAGCACAGCCTCTTACTGTGTCCCATTTTGCCCTGGCTCGTTCTTCCTCGAATTTAGCAAATTCCTTCCGGTCGTGGATGGTGATGAGTAGCTTCCAGATGAGCAGCGTGGCAAGACCGATGAGCAGAATGGCTCCCATCACTGAGAGCAGGACCACCAGGATGTCAGGACCCTTGGGGCACTCTGGGAGGCAGAGGCAGAGAGCAGGAGTCACCAAACATGGCTAGGAATGAGGTCTTAACAGATGAACAAAGGACCGGAAATAGGACAATGAGAACAGTAATTTCATCACTTTCTAAAAGGGGACAATCTTCAGGACAGCAGCAGTCTGCCCTGAGTGGTCTAGATCGGGGTTCTCAGGCTGACTCGTAGCCATTCGGTGTAGGGTCACCCAAGCGTACACTCTAGAACTTAGAGGAGAGATGGCTCAGAAGCTAAAAGCACTTGTTGCTATTTCAGATTAATATTCTATTCCAGATTAAGTTCCCAGCACCCACATGGTGGCCAAGAATCACCTGGCATTCTCTTCTGACCGCCACTGGTACCCAGGCATGCATACGGCGCCTCTACATACAAGCAGACTACTCACTCAGACACATAAATCTCAAAACCAGTTTTTTTTTTTTAAATTGATTTGGGGGTGACTAATCACAGTGTTTCCATAAAGCTTTGGCCTCTATCCAAAGCACGACAAACACACACACACGCACGCACGCGCACACACACACACCACACACACACACCTGCCAATACTAGAACTCACATCCCTACAGAGCAGCCACCAACTAGAGGCCAGAGCAGCTAGCCCTTCCTTTTATATTCCAGAACATTTGTTTTTTACTTACCAAAGTCCTCATCTCTTTCCACTTTCTTCCCTAAACACAGGCAAAGTGTGATTTGTCCTTGGATCTGTGCCACTGGGCACTCTGGAGCCAGGAATGCCTGGGTTTGAATGCTGGCTTTAATACTTACTTTGCTTATCTGACCTTCAATAAATTTACTTTTCTGGGTCTCTATTTCCTGTCTCTCCATCTTTCAAATGGAACAACTATTCACACTCATTCAAGAGCTTGTGACGAGCAGTGACTAAGCTAAATAGATTTAAAGAGCTCACACTAGCGCCTGGCCCAAAATGACCTCCTCCATAAACACTAGCAGCCATTGTCCCTGGTGACGCTCACATACCGAGTCTTCCCTTGTCCCTGGTGAAGCTTTCATACCGAGCCTGTTCGCTTACTGTCCCATTGGCAATTGTGTCTCTTGCCCTGGTCCAGATATTTACATCCCTGAGAGCTATAAATTTGGTGGCCTTCTCAGCATCTTTAGAGACCAGGATACCTGCCAGCCAGGACAATATTTAGTCATCTTAACCCTATTGGAAGCTGACTTCTTTGTTCAACCCCAAAGTCAACAACCAAAGCAGACAAGCTATGTCATTCTTTCATGGGTCAGCTGATTGTATCTTGTAGAGCTCAGCTTCCCATAAGCCTCAGGTGTCCAACAAGTGATCTCATACCGGCAACCTCCAGTGTTATGAAACCAGGTGTTTGTATATATGGGTGTTGATGAGTCTGGGAAGGAAGTCAAGCCCACTTTCCCCGCTGTCTCCCACCTTCTTCTCTAAACAGACACCCTAGCTCACCACACATTGCACAAAAACAACCACCACCACAAACCACTCTGGCCATTTCCCTACCCAGCAAATTACAACCTATCGATAATTAAGGGGCTCCTGGAGAGAGTTGAGGTTCCAGGGTCCAAATTACCAGGGGCAAAGGGTCCCAGTTCTTCTGGGAAAAGCAACCGTGAATTCTTTGAAAGCTTGGGCTAGGGCTGACCCTCAAACCTCAAAGTGAAATTTTACATGGTGGTCTCGGCAACACAGGTAGAAGCCTAAAGAAAAACAGCCTGTCCCCACTAGGGGTGGAAGGCAGGAGACAATAAGGACCAAGTGCCTCTGGAGGCCCCTCACAAGCACAGCAGGGGACCCACAGTGGTCCACACACAGCCTCAAAGGAAGGGTTGGCAGATTTAGTAAACAAAAGTATAGGAAGTCCAGGTCAATTTGACTTCCGATAAACAAGTTACTATTTTAGTGTGTGTGGACTAAATACTGCATGGAACACACCGTGTTTTTTCTGGCAGCCCTATTAGAGAGTGAAAAGGATCCAGTTCGGAGGCCCAGTCCATGTGACTGATTCCATTTGGAGATATTCTTTACTGCCCTGCAGTGACTCAACCCTTCAAAGAAAACATCTGCAAGACCATGGGATGGTGAAGGCAGCGAGAAGAATATCTTTCCACACTCAGGAGCCCAGCTCGCCATGCTGCTCCAAGCTAGAACATCTGGAAATAGCGGGAAAGAGAATAATATCTTTCCACACTCAGGACCCCAGCTGCCCATGTTGCTCCAAGCTGGAACATCTGGAAACAACGGGGAGTTGGGTCAAATCAGAGGCAGAGGCAGAACCATGGAAATGTTGGCCTCTGGTTGAGAGTGTGACTTCGAAATACAGCCTTTGCGTGAGGGCGTCAGTTCTACTTCCAGCACCACCAAGTCCAAGAGCAGTGTAGGTCACTAGACCTGGGATCCCATTTCCCACTGTGAAGAAATGGATGTACTATCAGAGAATATACCAAGTGATCCTCCAGGGTTGTGACCATCCCAGATGATCATCACCTTTGCTCCCCTTAACTAGAGTAGATGCCAGTCTCTAAATCCCAAGCCAGACGACTTGGAGAAGTTATTCAACAGGCGCACCAACAAAGATGGCATGACAAAAAGACAAAGTGATAGTAGACCCCAAAGCAAAGACCTAATGCCCTCTGTAACACACAGGGATGCAGGTACGACTAGGGTAAGGATGGCGATAATCTACGTGGTGAGCAGGAAGCTGTTGTCACCCCTAATGTGTACACTTCATCCCACAGAATAACACAGTCCTGTACTGTAAGGTCCTAGAACTTAAGTTCCGAACTCCTTGACATCAACACCTGGAAAAAAAACCCAGGCTGTATATTGCTCTTAGAGATATCCATATTCACTTCCTTCCTCTCCTTATTTTTCTGTCTCCTCAATTAACAAGTCACCTTATTTTTTTTTAAGATTTATTTTTACTCAGGCAGTGGTGGCGCACACCTTTAATCCCAGCACTCATGAGGCAGAGGCAGGCCAATCTCAGAGATGAGGCCAGCTTGATCTACAGAACAAGTTCCAGGATGGCCAGAACTACACAGAGAAATCCTGCCTCCAAAAAGGAAAAAAAAAATCATTTATAATTGTGTGTATGTGTTTGTGTCTGTGTCAGAGTATGTGAGTGAGAGCCGTTGCCTGCAGAGGCCAGCAGAAGGGTGTGCAATCTCCTTGAGCTGGAGTTACAGGTGGTTGTGAACCAAGCTCAGGTCCTCCGTGTGAGCATCAAGTGCTCTCAACTATGCGAGCCATCTCTCCAGCCCCAGTGAGTCCCTTTCTTACTAATTCTTCATGACATGACCCCCTCACCTCTTTGGCCTGTTTTGTTTGAAAGGGTTACTATAGAAAATCCTGCCTAACAAGGTAGTCTCTTTCCCCCAGGGCCAGGGCCTCAGGGCTCACTTACCCGGCTCTTTGACCACATACAGGATGGCCCTTCCGCTGGTGTCTTCATAGTACTGGAATCTGACGACACAGTCGTTCTCATTCTTGTAGGTACAGTTCACGGCGTTTTTGCCAGTATCGGCTGACAGACGGAAGGGAGTACATGGAGAATGAGAAACAAGTCACGTCCCAGAGGAGAAGAGCTTTTCCCAAACCCAGGTCATAGGATGTCTGGAAAGTACGTGACAGGAAACTCTCCGACGCTGGGCAAGATGCCCAGGATGGAGATCATGCCTGGCAATTGGCACTGAGTCTCCTGTGGTGATGAATTTGGTTTCTCGCGGGCCCTTTTTGGCTCTTATTCTTTCCTCTGAATGGGGCATGTGATAACAGTCTAAAAAGTCAGTCCATTCTGATCTAGAGCCTGTCCCTAGCACCTAGAATCTGTGATCTGTCCTCATCATCTTCATCTATGAAAGGAAACCGGTGCCCCCACCTTCCATGAGAATTAGGTAGCATCGAACAGTCGCACACACAGTAGGCATCCCCTCCCCTCCAGCTTCCTCGGCTTTCCCATTGCTAGTCCCCTCATTTCTGCTCCAATCCGCGGTGCCTCTCACGGCCATCCCCCATCCCTGACTCCCATCAGACTTTGCAGGCTTCAGCCTTCTCATTCTGGAACCTGCGAGTCCCTGCTAGACGCTGTGGATTCCTCTCCACTAATAGACTTTGCCATATACTGATGGCTGCAGATGAGCGAAACCCACAAGGACAGCATCAGAGAACCATCGGTTAGCTACTGGACAAGCCGAGATGGGAAAGAGGGAGTAGCTACCTACGATGTGTTCGCACCTATTTTATGTCATTTAACTCTCCCTGTAGGTGGGAGCCACCGATTTTCTTTCACAGATGAAGAAAAAGAGACTCAGTGAGTCAGATAAATACCCTTTCCCCCGATCTAATCACAGCAAGTCTAGTGTGGAAAATTCCACTTCCTCAACCCCTAAACGCCCACCTCACGGTAGCCCCTTTCTGCTATCAGTCACAGGTCCAGAGACCTGATTCTCTTATAACCCCCACACCAGTAGCTGTCTTCTGGCAGCTCTCACGTGAAGAGGTACTTCCTGTCTGCATGGGCAATTGCTGTCTGTGCAGAGATTGTCAATTCCTGGGCACTACCTGGTCCCCCAAAACTCAGATAATGTAAGAGATATATTGGAAGCAGCGAAGATCATCTTTAAAGACAGTACGAAGTTCAGGACAGAATAACTTTAAGAAAGGATCTTGCTCCCCCTGTTTATACTTCCATCTTATTTCAGGGTGGTGGGGGCTCCAGAAAGTCAAAAGGGTTTTAGGAGAGCAGTCATGATTATGTATCTACAATGCTGAAGGTTTCTCTCCAAACCAACAAGCTGTAAGCAAAAACCTGGGAATTATTTAACACTGTTAGTAGATTTTGGGTTTTATTTTATATATATGGGTATTTTGCCTGCATATGTATGTTTGTGCACCATGTCTACGTGTATCTATAGAGGCTAGAACGGGGCATTGAATCCTCTGGAACTAGAGTTTCAGGTGTTTGTGAGCCACCGTGTGGGTGCTGGAAACTGAGCCCAGGTCTTCTGCAAGCTACTCTAAACACTCCCAGGATTACAGGTGTATGCCACCAGGCCCAGTGTTACTCACCTTCTAAGCTAGGGGTGAACCGTCACAGGCCTACACCTTGGTTTCTTCCGTCTATAAAATCTAGTGTATCACCCTCCTCTCCTTTAAGGGTAAATTCAAAATCATCTGACTTGTACTTCCTTTACAAGTGAGGCACAGGCTCTTGCTGAGTCTGGGACCACAGGAAGCAGAAGGTGTGGGCTGCTGAACACATTTGCAAGGATGAAGGAGACTCTCGGAAAGCCAGCCTTCGCCATGTGCCTACTGCACATCAGGCCTGCACAGCATTCCTTGGGGTGGGAGCCTGCAGGTTCTGAGGTGGAGATGGAACTATACACAGCCGGGATGTGTGAGACCCCCTAAGACCTGCCGGACTCACTCAGTTCTGCCACAGGCTCAATGTCATCGCGGCAGTACCGGCTGCAGGTGTTTTCTTCATGGAGGGTTCCCCGGTTGAACTTCTTACATTCCACACACTCCCTGGAGGAGAGAGTACACAGCAGCTAAAGCAAAGGGGGAACAGCCCTAAGTGTACCACATCCCTGGAAAGTACCATGGAGCTCGGTAATGAAGCCCTCCTCACCCGCAGACAGGACCCGGCCAACCCACCCTGGATCTGAGGCAGAGCCTCGCTATAGAGCCTAATCTGGTCTTGAACTTGATCCCCTTGCCTCAGCTCCTGACTGCTGGGATTTTAGGATCAAATAGGCTTCATGGAGCTTCAAGGGCTATGGTGGCGATGGTGGAGGTGGTGGTGGTGATGGTGGTGGTGGTGATGGCGGTGGTAGTGATGGTAGTGGTGGTTATGGTGATGATGGTGGTGGTGGTGATGGTGGTGCTGATGGTGGTGATGGTGATGGCGGTGGTAGTGATAGTAGTGGTGGTTATGGTGATGATGGTGGTGATGGTGATGGCGGTGGTAGTGATGGTAGTGGTGGTGGTGATGGTGGTGGTGGTGATGATGGTGGTTATGGTGATGATGGTGGTGGTGGTGATGGTGGTGGTGGTGATTCTGATGGTGGTGGTGGTGGTGATCGTGGTGGTGGTGATGGTGGTGCTGATGGTGGTGATGGTGGTGGTGATGGTGGTGGTGGTGGTGGTGGTGGTGGTGGTGATGGTGGTGATGGTGATGGTGGTGATGGTGGTGGTGGTGGTGGTGGTGATGGTGGTGGTGGTGATGGTGGTGGTGGTGATGGTGGTGGTGATGGTGATGGTGGTGATGGTGGTGGTGGTGGTGGTGGTGGTGGTGGTGGTGGTGATGGTGGTGATGGTGGTGGTGATGGTGATGGTGGTGATGGTGGTGGTGGGGGTGGTGATTTCTCATCACTTCTGGGAGGTTTAAGGTCAGAACTAGTCATGTGATTTATGAGTCCACTGAAAAATTATAGTTCTGTTCAAACACAGCTAAGAATTTCAAGGCAGTGAAAACCAAGTGTTTAGCCCAGCATGAGGCTCTTTCTTCTAAGCACTGAGCCTACCACAGCCAAAGTGTTTAACTGTGAACCCGACAATGGCAGAACCACAAACTTGGGCTTCCTCTAACTTCCAAACAGGGCAATTCTATAGTGGCAAAATGCCCATTTCACCAGACACCCACCATAACGCCAGCCCCTGCACCTCCCGTAGGGATCAGAACACTGCATAGGAATGTTGAGAGAATTTCCTGTTTGCTTCCCCTCCCAATGCAGAGGGCTTCGTGGTGCCACTCTGGAAGAGAGGGCTTGCTGCAATTGCTACCACTCTGGTCCCTGCACAGCTGGTACCACCTCCAGCCTTCCCAAAGAAAGGCATCACGGAAAAAAAGAAAGTAGTAATTTGGCCGGAGCAAACCATTCTCCAAGCCAGATCCTTGGGAGCTGGGAACTCTGGGGAGGGGGGGTGGCTCTTAGTTCCTCCCAGCCTCCCTACCCCTCTTCCTTCTCCCAGCCTCCCTGCCCCTCTCCCTTCCCCCCTCCTCCCTGCCCCTCTCCCTTCTCCCCTCCTCCCTGCCCCTCTCCCTTCTCCCAGCCTCCCTGCCCCTCTCCCTTCTCCCAGCCTCCCTGCTCTCTCCAGACTGTTCACTCACTTCTTAAACGAGCAGGCATCTGGGCAAGTGGGACACTTCTCACAGGTGTCCCCGTAGGAGCCTGGCTGGACACAGACACAGCTGCCACATTCACAGTTACCGCGGCCGCTGCACAGCAGCCCATTGCTGGACATGCAGGTGTCAGTGCGGGTTGTGCAGTTGCAGTAGAAGCCAGTCCAGTCGGAGTCACACACGCAGTCCCCGCAGTTGCACTGGCCATGGCCTACAAACAGAGCACAGGACAGCAGACCAGCTGGTGAGAAGCCGGTCCCATGACAACAGGCTACTGTCACCCCGTTCCTTCAGCCAGACTCACAGTGATCCTGCAAGTAAGTGGAGGGACTGGCTCATTGCCAGCAAAGCTCCACCCAGCAGACACAGAGAACATGTAGGCACCCCAAGGAAGAAGACCTGGAAAGCAGAGGAATATTCAGATCTGTGTCTACCATACTTCCTGTCTTTTTTCTTGCCCTGTTCTGAATCCTTCTGCCTTCTCTGCCAGCATCAGTCTGAGAACTAAAGCCAGCTCTTTAACCCCAAGGGCTGGTCCGGCAAGAATCTATAGCCTGTGCGCACACAGAGCATCCGGGAACTTCACCAGATGGTAATGAAGCTGGTGATGGTGAAAAGCTCCTCCAGGCCCTTCACACGTCTCCTTTGACCTGACAATGTTTCCTCTCCGATGCGGCTTGAAAGGCCAACCATCATTGTCATTGTCTTCTTCTCCCTGTTAAGTCAGACACCAACACAAGCTCTGATTTGAACAAGCTAACCCCTCCCTCAGCAAAATAATGGACCGACCAACAAGCTCCAGTACTGTGTTTCTCAGAGCAGCTGACTGTCACCTTGCAAGGTGAGAAGCAAGGCTCTGAAGGGGAACACATGAGATGAGAAAGTGCTCTGTAGTGAGCATGGAGGGATGGAGAAACCCTGCACAGCCTTGTGCCGATGCTGGGAAGGGAAGGCACACACAGCACTCCTGGGTATGCAGGGAGAAGGATAGGGTCCCCAAGGCCAGACAGGCACTGGGAGCCTACAGTCAGCCAGCAGAGCCAAGGAAGCAGAGAACAAATAGAACCTATCTTATAGCCTGCTGAGAGCCAGGACTGCTAAATAAATCCCATGAGTACCATAGAGAGAATGCTGCAGAAAACGAGGAAAGCTGAATGAAAAGAGATTTTCCAAAGGTAGACAGCCAGAAACTGGTTAGCGGTGACCACACATAGCCCAGAGGCCTCCACCAAACAGCTGATCAATTATTGTCTCTGCCTCCCCACACCAAAGCTGCAAAAACATTTGCCATAATTAATTTCTGATGTTGCAGGCGTGGTTCATGAGCATCCAACCTCACCGGCACATCCTGTCTTTCATAACTATTCCTCCATATGCCTGTGTTTCGATCTAGTGGGTGATGCTATTTTGAGAGATTTTGGAGACCTGACAGGTGGGGCCTCACTAGAAGAAATAGGTCACTGGGTCCTTGTAGGGCATAACTGATATATCCCTGACCAATTCCTGGCTTGCTCTCTCTGCTTCCAGGTTGGCCATGAAGTGAGCAGCAGAGGAGACAGCTGTTACGCTGTCCTGCCTAAAGCATTTGGGACCAAACAAACATAGACTGAACCCACTGGAATCATTAGCCAAAATAACTCTTTCCTCCTTCATTTCTTTTGGGTATTTTATAACAGCAACGTAAAAAATTAATACATCCTGCTGCCCTAGGTCAGCAGTTCTCAACCCTTGGGTTGCAACCCCTTAGGGGTTGTGTGTCAGATATCCTGCATATCAAATATTAATGATATGATTCATAGCAAAATTACAGTTATGAAGTAGCAATGAAATAATTTTATAGTTGGGAGGAACTAACTGTATTAAAGGGCCACAGCATTAGGAAGATTGGAAAGTACTACCCTGTGTAGCCGAGAGCACAGTAGATCAGCTTTGGAAGCCATCTAGAGAACTGTACTACTTCCCAAAACCAAGGAACTAAATATTCCCAGTGGAAGTTGTGCCACCAGTACTCACAGCAATGACAATAATGTCCATGGGCATTTGCTGAGCATTCAACATGTGCTAAGCACATGTCATATCCTATCATCCTATTGTCCAGTTACCCTATTCATTCTTACAATCCCATTGTGTCAGAAAGCTCACAGAACTTGTTTCAGGCCACAGCTGACACACAGCAGAGTCAGGGCTCAGCCTTGAGTGACCACACATCAGTCGACACCCTGGACTATTCCCTTCTGCTGCACTGTTTCTGTGGCCTCCTGTTTCCATTCATATTGTTCTTTCTACCTTTAACTCTGTGTCTTCTCAAATCCCTCTCCACAGTTAAGAGCACTGCCTGCTCTTGCAAAGATCCTGAGTTCAAGTCCAGAAACCACATGGTGGCTCACAACCATATGTAATGAGATCTGGTGCCCTCTTGAGGAAGAGACCTGGTCAGTCGTCCTCATCAACTTAGACCGTGAAACCCAATATGGACAAGTTCAACAGAACCACCATATATGGGCTGCCCATGCGTATTTCATCATTGCCAGGGCATAAATTTCATTTTTTTCTTCATTCATCCTTAAGGCCCAATTCATGTGTTCCTTCCTCCCATTGACTTTTTCTGACCTCTTCAAGTTGAGTCAAGTGTCTTCTCATGTTCTGCCAGCACACTGTGGCTGCTTCTATGTTGTGGTAGTGTGGATGTATCTGGCCCCCACACACTCATAGGGAAAGACACTATTTAGGAGGTGTGGCCTTGCTGGAGGAGGCTGGATGATACACACCCTTAGTCCAGACCTTGAGGCTGGAGGGCACACCTTTAATCGGGGTCACATTTTCTGTTGGAAGTGTGTCACTGTGGGGAGGGCTTTGAGGTCTTTTTCTCAAGCTTCACTCAGTGGGACAGCTGTTGATTTCCTGTTGCCTGCAAGATGCAGCACTCTCAGCTCCAGCACTGTGGAGGCCAAAAATGCAGGCCCATTTCCACCTTGTCTGACGTCAGAGAGTTTGGAGATTTGATAAACATAGTAGCAGGTCCTAACTTAGGAGGCGACTGCTTGATTCTTTTGAAATTAAAATAGCTCAGTGCCATTCTGCTGGGTGGTCAGGATAGGCGAATGTGCTTCTGCTCCTTCTGTTATAAATATGAGGTCCCCTGGGGAAGGTGTATCTCCAGCACATGTGACCTAGAGCACTTTCCCTACCTAGACAACAGAACACTAATGATTTGATGTCTCAGAGTGATAAAGCCATTGACGGTGTGTCCTGTTAATAAAGAGGAGTTTAAAAGTTGGAAGTTAACACTACCAAAAGTGACCCATTCTCTAGAGCTCTGCATCAGGAAGAACTGGACAGATAATAAAAACATAACTGTTAATCAGAGGAAAGGCGAGGAACAAATAATGGTCTGGAAACCACATCAGTAGCTCCAAAAAGGTGGGGAGGGTTGTCATTGGGCCCGCTGTCTTTTGGGCACTATGGGTCCCTCTGCTGATGGCTCTGGCAATGTCCTCCCAGAAACACATCACCATTCAAGATGCAAACATGTAACTAAGACTCAGCTGCATCACTTGCTTGAAATATTTCTTAGAACAGGTGGGCCAGTTGTGGTGAGCCTGTAGGATATGCTAAACAAACGAGGTCAAGGCCAGACAAGGCTATACACTGGGGTTGAAGCACTAGATGTTCTTCCAAGACTGGAGTTGGAGTCCCAGCACCCACAAGGTGGGTTACCAAGTGTCTGTAACTCCAATCCTAGGGGGATGCAATGCCCTCCTCTGACTGCCACAGCAGAGCACCCACATATATTTTTAAAAGATGGGACTAGAGAAATGGCTCAGCAGTTAAGAGCACTGGCTGCTGTCCCAGAAAACACGAGTTCAATTCCCAGCCCCAACATGGCAGCTCACAACTGTCTACATAACTCCAGTTCCAAGTGATTCGACGCCGTTACACAGACACACATGTGGGCAAAACAGGCCCATGAAATAAAAATGAATCATTCTTAAAAAAATAAAAAAAAATCTGGGTGGTAGTGACGCATGCCTTTGATCCCAGCACTCAGAGGCAGAGGCAGGTGGGTCTCTGTGAGTTCCAGGCACACCTGGTCTATAGAGCGAGTTCTAGGACAGCCAAAACTACACAAAGAAACCATGTCTTGAAATACCTAAATAAATAAATGTTTTAAATTAAGAACAAAAGATGGGGCCAGAAGCAGACTGCCCAGGGATATCTAGAGACTTCGGGGGTGGGTGCTGGAGGAAAGCTTGGAACAGAAATACTCTGTTTTAGGCTGGGTTCTCTAGAGGCATGGTTATGGCTAGGCTCTTTACTGGGGAGAAGGACGGGAGGGAGGAAGGAAGCAGTCAAATGCCAACTAGGCTTGGGAAATGGTAAAGTGCTTGCCACAGAAGCAAGAGGAACTGAGCTCTATGCCCAGCACCCATGTAAAAAGCCGGTGTGCAGAGACATAGTTATAGACCCAGCACAGGAAGGCAGAAACAGGAAAAGGGCTGGAGCCCGCTCACACTCCAGGTACCAGCGGGAGACCCCGTCTCAATAAGCAAGGTAGACAAATCTTGAGGAATGACACTCAGGGTGATCGTGTGACTTCCACACATGCACGTGTGCATGCACATGCTTGCACACACACACACACACACACACACACACACACACAGCAGCTATGTGGTCTAGAATAGAAACTCCCTTCAGCCTGAATCCGTGGAGAGTCTGGAATTATGAATGGCACCACAGAGCTAGGACTACTTTGAGGAAAAGGAAGTGCCCTGGTAGAACCTTCCTTCACCAGTCCTTGGTCAATTTCTGAAGGCAAGGCTACTCCTGTCAGCGCCAAAGAAAGGCAGCTGTGAACTGTAATCAGTCAGCCCTCCAGACAGCAGCTTGGGGTGGGTATGCCAGACAACAGAATGGACCCCATGGTGCCCACTATGCCTTGGCTTTAGCCACGATGCCTGGATGGGGAAAGAAGGATGCCACAGAGGCCTGGCAGCACTCAGAAGAGGCCTCAGCCTCCGCAGAACCCTCGTCCCACAGTGTTCCCTTTGTGAAGCAAAACAAAGTGAGCTTTGACAGGATGACCTGCTGGGCCAGTGATGATGGGAATGGAAGTGGGTAGCCAGAGCCAGCAGGCTGACCCTGAGACCTGGCAGAGGCCGCCCTTAAAGGAAACCACAGTGTAGTAATGTCACAGTGTTGGCACCTCTCCAGTCAAAGTGGGCCCTAGGCTGGGTTCACAGCAAAGCCAAAAGAGGGAGCAAGAAATGGGAGAGGAAGGGGAGGGAGGAGGGTTCCAACCAGAGGGTGTGTGATTACTCTCCCTGCCAAGCCAGACTTTCAGACTGACTCCACTCCTTTCCTACGTGAACCAGCCTTCCTTTGAGCTCCGTCAGACATCACCACCTCCATGAACCTGCCCAGGTCTCCCCTATCCATGAGTCTCTCTGGGGACTCTGCGGACATCTCCAGGTTCTAGCAGGCTGAGACTGCTTATGTGTAGGACACTTCCATCTATTATTAAACCGGAAAGTTGTCTGTTGACACCTGGTCCTCGCGTGTGGCTAGAGCACAGGGCAGAGCCCACGGAGGAAGCCTGCAGAGCCCACGGAGGAAGCCTATCTGTGTGTAACGGGGGCGGGGAAGAACCTGAGGAGGAGGGTGCCTGTCCTATCTCCCTGCTGTCTGTGGTAGGGGTTAGAGACTCATGCAACCTCAAACACCAAGCCTGAAGTAGGGAGGAGTCAGTCAGGACCACCTGCCATGCTCAGAGCTCACAGGCTAGTAAAAGAGCAGGCACTCCTGTCCTATGGTCCCCACAAGGCAGGCCTCGGAGAAGAGGGACACTGAGGAGCTGGAACCACGCATAACCCCTTGTTCACCCGTGTGAACCAAATGTCAGCATGATGCCAAGTACTCCACAGGCACGTGCCTCTGGGAATGTGATAACAGTGGTCACAAGAGGAAGATGTGAGGCTAGGTGGGCACCAGACACCCTGGCAAGAAGCAGTAAAAAATGGGTGCTGCCGCCAAATGAGTCCCCTTAGTGGATTAGAGTGAGCACACAGGACCAGAAATCTACACCTCAGAGAGTGGGAATTGCTGAGGCTTTAGGGTTGGGAGCCAAAACCAACACACACTGGCTGGGATCCCTCCCACAGACCTCACACTAGACCGGAACCAATCAACCCTGGAGGAGTGAAGGGGCCCGGAGGCTCTTCTGTAGGCCTTTCCCAGCATTCCCAGCTTGCTCCTTTGGGTGAGTCTTTGGTGGTCTGAACATGGAAGAAATATTATTAGATGCTCAAATGAGCTGAAAGCCCTGATTCCCTAGTTCAAACTGCTCTCGTATGTCTGTTCTCATCAGGGCCCTGGTCTCTCCCCACTGCTGTAGTGAATAGTTACACCGCTTTCCCCCAACACTTGCTGACGTGACTGAAGTAAACAATGTCACGGATCAGAAGAGGTATCATTTTTTACGTCTGTGGTGCATACGTTTTATGTTTTTAAAAGATTCTTCTACTTAAGTGTATGTTGGGCATGCACGCTTTGAGTGCTGGTGCCCTCGGAGGTCAGAGGCATTAGCTTCTCTGTGGCTGGAGTTGCAGGTGAACCACCTGGAAACTGAACTCAGGTCATCTACAAGAATAGCACCTGCTCTTAACCACTGAGCCGTTTCTCCAGCCCCTTGGGAACAGTTTGGTCATGGCATATTTGTCTTTTTGATTGAGTTCCTTTGTGGTGGTGGTGGTGGTGATGGTTGGGTGTTGGCTAACCATAAACTTGCTGTGTAGCTGAGGATGACCTTGACCTCCTGATTATAGTCTATATATAGCCTATAATGCTGGTATTTTAGACATGTGCCACCACGTTAAAGTGAACACCTGAGTCAACTGAGCTCAGCCGGCTAAACCCTAATGCAAATGAAGCCTGTCTGGGTCTTAGATTATCACAGAAAACAAGTAGAGCCTCTCCGTTCAGTTGATCACACAGAATACCCAGAACCCAGCTCCAACCAACTTGAAAATGTCTGCAGTCTGTCCGTCCCAAACAAGGTTAAATCACAGCAACAACAGTCCAAGTCTGCAGCCTGTCCGTCCCAAACAGAGTTAAATCATAGCAACTACAATCCAACATAAACCTTCCTCCAGAGCCTAAGAAGAAAGCTCAGACTGTCCATTGCCCTGAGAGTACTCAGATAAAGACCATACTCACAGCAATTTGGCTTCTCCTGGTCAGAAAAGTGCCTAACAGTGGTCCTTGGGGCCAGTTTGAAGTTATCAATAGGCCTCAGAGGCGCACTACGTTTTTTTGTTTTGTTTTGTTTTGTTTTGTTTTGTTGCTTTTTCAAGACAGGGTTTCTCTGTGGCTTTGGAGCCTGTCCTGGAACTAGCTCTGTAGACCAGGCTGGTCTCGAACTCACAGAGATCCACCTGCCTCTGCCTCCCGAGTGCTGGGATTAAAGGCGTGCGCCACCATCGCCCGGCTAGATTTTTCAATAAGGACAATTCAGACCCTTCAGGTTCAACATTATAGTCCCCAGGCTGGAGAGACAGCTTGCATTGCACACATGAGGACCTGAGTTCACATCTACAGCACTCATGTTTTGGAAAATAAATCTAGGCTCAGTGGCACATACATGTCTACATGTGTGTAGCCCCAACACTGGGAAGCAAAAACAGTTGAATCTTTGGAGCTCACTGACCAGCTAGCCTAGCAAACTGGTCAGCTCCAGGGTCTATGAAAGAGCCTATCTCAAAAAGCAACATGTGTCACGCCACCTCCTGCAGAGTCTGCGTGATTTCTCACATAGGCTATGGCACAAGTTTCAAGGAAGAGTGCCCACAGAGAAGGTGTCTGTGCTGTGCTTCCTGCACTGGAGCCCTTGCACTTTTGGCATTACCTTATGTTCTAGGAATGCAGTCTGGTTTCTTCTGGAAGGGAAGACAGTATGTTTAAGTTTCCAGAGTCTAGTGATGAGATATTGCCATATACAGGGAGTATATGATGCTAATGGAGGAAGATGGGTTAACATTCAAGGCAAAAAGGTTTCCAAGTTTAATCTGGTGCTTAGTAAATAAAGAACAAAAGACAAACTTAATTAAGCAATTAAGATAGATTCAGCAAAGATGGGATAAGGATAGAAGAGAGAGATAAGTGCCTGTAACGTCTTGAAATTGGTTTTGGGGAAGGATTGAAAAGGAGTTAGAAATATGGAGAAGGAGAAGGAAAGAAGAAGTTCTTCTGCATAGATGGCAGAAATATAAAAAGACCGTAGACTGTGTGACTGTTAACCACAACCGCTTGCCCTTAGCTCAAAATGCCATGAACTCATAGGCTAGATAAAGATTTATATCGAAACTAATACCAGGGACATCTGTTTGATGGAAATCTATCCTCATGTATCTGATATAATGACTCTAAAAATAATCTGTACCACATGAAAAAAACAATACACGCAGTTCAGCAATCTTTCTGTATAAAGGATGAGCCTCACACCCAGTAAAGACACATTCAGATGCAATTCCTTTGAGTCTTGGATCTGTGTGTCATCCGCCGACTCCTTACCCACCTATTCCTGAGACCCGGTCTTGTAGGTCCCAATGCCCCGGCTGAGCTGGTCCTTCCCAAACACGGGAAGTGATTGAGGAAGACACCAAATGCCCACCTCTGGTCTCTATACCCGTATACATACATGTGCACACACACACACACACACACACACACAATTTTAATCTTCTAGTAGGAAGTCTCTCCTGTAACTCTCTAGTGAACTTTCTGCTATGTCAAAATGCTCAGTATCCCCATGGTCCATTATGATAGCCACTAGGCACGTGGCCACTGACCAACTGAAAAACTGAATTTATGGTTTCTCTCTCAATTAGTTTAAATAGTTACATGTGGCTAGTGGATACCTTGGATAGCACAGGCCTAGAATATAAATACCAATAGTTACGAACAGATAATAGAACAGGGATAACATTTAGTACAAGTATATCATTTTCCAAATACTGTTCTAAGTGCCCAGTATCTTGCATATATACCACTACTGTCTACTGGTGCTACAAGGATAAATTCAAGTAAAATTATTATGAACTTTACGGCATATTCCAATATCATATTTTCCATCTGTGAACACTAATAGTTTATCATGAGGCTGATTTTTTTTTAATGAAAAATAAGTTGATCCTCCGGCCTACCCTCATCTTAGCTTCCCTATGCCCCACGAACAAGGTTGGGAGGTTCCCTCCTCTGCTCATTTCTGGTTTTCTGCTCTGAGTGAAATGGATCCCCAGTTCCCTCGCCAACCTCAAGCCCGCCACATGGCACCCACATGGCGCCTGGGGTGCGCATGCGCGCATGGCTGTTGAGCACGCAGCTGTGTGCTCCTACTCACCAGAGCACATCTCCCCTTTGTAGCGGACACAGGAGAAGTCGTCGCACTCGCAGAACTTGCCCGTGATCTTGCCGAAGTCACTGCTGTGGCATACACACTGGCCGCAGAGGCACTCGCCCCGCTGGCTGCAGACGGGTTGGCCCTCCTTGGCACTGCACTCCTCCTGCTGAGAGGGCCGGTAGTCCTCCTCGGAGCACTCACACATGGATCCCAGCCAGCCCTGGTCACAGCGGCACACTCCACACTCAAAGGTCCCATTGCCATTGTTGCAGCGTGGGCTGAGGGGCTGGGCAGAGGCCTGGCAGGCACAGTCACAGTCAAAGGTGACCTGGACGGTGAGGCTATCCTTAAAGCCCACAGGCTTGATGGTGAAAGACTGCTCCTTCTCCTGGGGGCAGCCGCGTACCTTGGCCTCGACGCTAAAGCTCACCTGGATGGAAAGACGACATTCAGACCTAAGTGGATCTGGGTACCACCCGCCCTAGAGAAACGTTGTGCTGCACCCTACCAAGGACAACAAAACTGGGTGTCAAATCCAACTGCCGTGGGGAGTTTCTTGACCTTAATTCTGTCAAAGGCTACATAGTAAAAGCTACACTGGCATCATAGTTACTACTGGGACCTATTTAATTGGACAGATGGTTACAGCCTAGCAATAAAAGGCTGGTTTTCTCCTGAGAAGTCAATCAGCTCAAGCAGGACAGGATTTGTGATGCCAACCAAGCCTGCTGGAGTATTATTATTACATATTAACAGTAGGACACGCAAAATTCTGCTTTGCATCACACCATGCCATAGAGTGGTCAGTTACAACCTGAGGGATTGCAGTATAAAGTGTCATTGGAGGGTGTGAGCTGTGAGCTGTGAACACATATGTTTAGGAAATAAACATACAGGGCAATGGACCAAAAGACCTATTTTTCTTCATTCCTCTCTCCCATCCACCAGTCCCTTGGAGAGAGCAGAGGAGGACCAACAAACAAAGAGAACCAGGGGACCTAGAGAGATGGCTCAGCAAGGTAAGAACACTGGCTACCCTTCCAGAGGGCCTGGGTTCAAATCCACATGGCAGGTCACAACCATCTGTAACTCCAGTTCCAAGGAATCAGACACACTCTTCTGGCCTCCACAGGCACTAGGCACCCACGTGATATCCAAATACACACATACACACACACACACACACACACACACACACACACACACACACTGGCAAAATAACCATATACATAAACTTTTAAAAGAATAATAATCAAGAAAACCATGGAGGGAACAGAGGGGCAAGATGAACATTTGCACTCTTAAGTCCCAAGGTGGGTGGTTATTTTTGCCTGTTCTGCTTGCTATTTGTTGGATTGTTTTCATGAGCGAGAATAAAGCCTAGCACACAGTCAGTGGTTCGCAAAAGTCTACAGATGATAGACTGCAGAGAAAAGAAAGACATTACTCTGGGTGGGTAGAGATCATTTCACTTGTAATCAGATGTACAGGTGTGAACACAGCAAACCGATATGAAGGTTTGATGTGGGATGTTCCTTTGTAAGAATGTATATGTTTTATTACCATTGGTTATTAAAGAAGCTCTTTCAGCCAGTGGCTTAGTAGAGTAAAGCCAGGTGGGAAATCCGAAGAGATAGAGAGAGAAAGTAGGCGGAGTCGAAGAAATGCCACGTAGCTGCCAAAGGAGAAAGATGCCAGCGGCCAGCCAGAACTTTATCAGTAGCACACACCCTTGGGATAATACACATATTAACAGAAATGGGTTAATTTAAGATGTAAGAGTTAGCTAGAAACAAGCCTAAGCTATTGGCCAAACAATGTTGTAATTGATATAGTTTCTGTGTTATCATTCGGGTCTGTGCAGCCGGGAAACAATCTACAACAGTTCTCAAAAACTGGTAGGAAGTAAACCTTAGGCAGCAGACACTTCAAGAGGAAAGATTAAGAGCTCTCGTAATCAAACTTCTAATTCTGGAAAAGGTTGGGGTGTAGTGGGTATTCACCCCGCTCATGACCTTGGGTTCTCCAGCCCCAATAGAGGCGGAGCTTCTTGTCTGCTGATATAACTCCTTTAAAAGAAAGAGGGGGGCAGGCTCTCCCTCTCTTGTGTGGTGGTCAGAGATCAGACTGCTGGTTTCATTGCCTCCCCTCCCCTTACCCCGGCAGAGCAGAAGCCCTCGGTGACTATCTACCTTGTTGTGTACCTCATGAGTGTTTTCTGATAAATTCCCGATAGCCATTTGGAAAGGCTCCTGTGGATTCACCTATATTTGCCTACAATAAGGTACACGCAGATTCTGGGGTCCCGGGTCACAGCTTCAATATCAGCCCCTGCCTAGACCACCTCACCGTGTCTCCAATCTTGAGTCCCACACAAGACTTGAGGCCTGGGATGACCTCGTTGTTGAGGCAGGTGGCATTGAAGGACAGTGACAGCTCTTCAGGGAGGTCACGAACTTCCAGCTCCACTTTAGAGCGGATTTTCTGAGCAGAAAAGGACAAAAGAAAGTAAGGAAACAGACAAAAGCCAAGTCCATCCCACTCAAAGCCAACACAGTGGGCTGGGACTTGCCTGAGGCTGAGGTTTCTCTGCCAGTTGCTGCCCTATGGTCTCTGCCCAGTCACCTCTTCTGGGTGTCGTTAGGACCTGGCTATCTCTTATTCTGCCCCACAGCTGTCCCTGTACATCTAACCCACATCTGCCGTCCCCTCTACCTCTGTCCTGTTCCTCCCTGGCCTTCCTTCATGGCCCATTTTCTCTCCAAAAGATGCCACCATTCCCAGAGCTGGCCATCCTCTACCTCGAGGAACACAAGAGGGAAACAGGAAGGTCGCGTGGGAGAAAGGCAGTCAGGGTTCCAAAGACCTTGGCTCTGTTAGAACATGGGCCTGCGCCTTTAGGCCTGAGCCCATAGCCCAGGTCAGTTCATACACTTCAGCTCTCTTCGGGACAGAGTCCCAAAGCAGTTTGTACTGTGACTTGACAGCTCTCGGTGTCAGAGTACCTGGCTTCTCTACAGGCCGTGTTCAACTGAATCACGTGATATGAAAATACCTACCACTCCTAAAAGATCATATAAAGCCAGACCACTCCTTTGACCTGGGAATATGTCTGGGGAGAAAAGCTGTTTTTGAAGAGGCTCCCCTGCCTTCACCCTCATGCAAGTTCTCTCTCTCTTTCTCTCCCTCTCTTCTCTTGACCTCCCTCACTCTTAATCAAGTTCCTCTTCAGGCTTTCAAGGGAAGCCTCTCGTCCCCTTGTTTAGGCTTCCATATTGTATTGTTTCCACCCCATCCCTTCCACCTCCAGACCCAAGCACGGCCTCAAGGCCCATTCATTTTAAGAAATTTCATCGCTGAAGGGAATGTATCAGGTTTCCATTGCAGACTGACCACTGTGTCCCTCCTAAGGCCAACAGCCTTACCCCATAAGCATCCACAATGAGCTGGAGGACATTGCTTGAGTCATCAGACAGGATTCCCACTGTGGTCCCCGGGATAAGCTCGCTATAATTCTAGAAAGGAAGACAAAAACACCCATAGCTTACTGAGGGAAAGTGGTCTCCTCAAAGTCCCCTAGTCAGACTGGCAGTTGTTGTCGTTGGGGGCGGGGGAGACATCAAGACAGGGTTTCTCTGTGTAGCCCTAGCTGTCCTGGAATTCGCTCTCGAAACCAAGCTGACCTTAAACTCAGAGATCTGCCTGCCTCTGCCTCCCAAGCGCTGGGATTAAAGGTGTGCGCCACCCACTGACAGACTGGCAGTCTTAAAATGAAGTTTGGAAGGCACTGTGGGATGTCTCACTTGTCACTACCAGAACAGATCTAGCAGATTTTCCTGAGGAAAAAGTAGGAAACCTTTTTATGCCCCCTCCTCCCACTGAATTATCTCCCACCACCACCACAAACACCCTCTTCCTAGTAGGTTAGAGGTTGAAGGGGAAAGGTTACGGGGAGAACTATGTGAAGTACCCAGAGAATGGGTGTAGAAAGGATTTTCCTGGTCAGGTCCCTGGATACCGTCAGCATGGGCTGGCCACCTGGGACAGGTCCATCTCTGGTGACAGGACAGAAGCCCCAGAAGCATGATTACCTGATAAAGGTTGGCGACATTTTCAGTGACTGCGAAAATCAGGTTAATGTTTTTCTGGGATAGTTTCTCAGTCATGAGCCCCAGAGATGGATAATCCTGGAAAAGGGGGAAGAGGTGAAGATTCATGCTTCCCTGGACGCTAAGCCTTTGAACTTGTCTTATCTGGGGTACAACCAGGGAAATGTATAACTTTAAGATTTTTATCCACTAATCAAAGTGAGGTATTGTGGTTTGGGTTTCATGTGTTGAAACTGTGAGATGCGGAAGGGTGAAGACAAACCCTCTACAGTATTTAGGAGTAGAGTGTCTGGGAAATAAACAGGGTTAGAGGTCATTGTGGTGAAGCCCCCAGAGTTGAATCCCCCCTAACTTTATAAGAGGAAAACAATGAAACAGAAACCCATACACATACTCCCTGACCTCTGCTTCATGCCGGCCTGAGTCTTGGGACTCAGCCAAAAAAGATGATGACCAGATGTGGTCACTCAAACTCGCCAAGTTCTAAGAACAAAACTAAAGGTCTTTTCTGGCTTACTGTGTCTGTGCTAGTGTATTGTTAGCAACAGAAACCGGAACACGAGATGAGTGAGAAGGACAAAGCAAGGCAAACTTAGCTGTGAGCCCTGGGCTGGTGGTGTTCTGAAATCAAGCTCCTTCCTTCCCACTCAGATTCCAGCCAGCCCCATGAGTTAGGACCCACTGCTGTGAGCTCTGGGCAAATGGTCTAGCCTCGCTCTATCAATCCTATTATAGAGCGCTGGGCAAATGGTCTAACCTCACTCTATCGATTCTGTTGTAGAGCTCTAGGCAATGGTCTAGCCTCACTCTATTGATCCCGCTTTAAAGCTCTAGGCAATGGCCTAGCCTCGCTCTATTGATCCTGCTCTAAAGCTCTGGGCAAATTGTCTAGCCTCGCTCTATGGATCACCTACTGAATGATCACCAACCACCACTCTCCCCTACCCCTCTTCTACTCAGCACTGCTCCAGCACATTCCTCCTGCCACTGGAGTGACCTCATCTTGGCAATCCTCCTTCTTCCTTTGCCTAAGCTCACCTCCTCCACAAGGCCTTCCTTGACCACCCTAGCTTCTACAGAGCTTTTCCTCCTTTCCTGCCGACAGCCTTTGATTGTATCAGACACCTAGCATTCAGCATGTGTTCTGTGCTATTAATACAGATGTTGGAATATAGCCTCTCTCTTCATCTAAGCCAAAAGCCTTCTGAGAGTCAGTCCTTACAGCTTTTTCATCTCCCAGCTCCTGGCCAATGCCTTGTATAAACTAGTATTGATGTTGCTAACTTGCCCATTGTCTGACAGTGCTCAACTTCTCATGAGATCTCCAGCTCAGTTTCCTGCCTTTAATCACTTTTCAGCTGTAAGGTGGTTCCTCTATTTATTGACTTTAGAAAATAAAGAGTAGGCTGTGGATGGCTCAGTGGGTGAACACTTATCATATATTATTGTGAGACGCTGGGGGAAAAACATTCATGGTAGTATAAATTTCTAATCCCAACACTCGGAAGACTGAGGCAGAAGGATTGCAAGGCGAAGGCCAGCCTAGGCTATATACAGAACAAGACCCTTCCTCCATAAAGAAATAAACAAAGCAGGCATAGTGTCACATGAATGTACCCTCACATCCGTGGGGTGATGGCAAGAGGACTAAGAATTACAAGCCTGGGCTGCATGGCAAGACCCTGTCTCAAGAAAACAAAGGGGTGAGGGGACAAGACAGGCAAAGAGTCAAGATTTAATCCAACTACCCAAAGTGTTATTATTTTAAATTTAGCTACATTTGCCTAACGACTGACACCAATTGCTTTCCTCTTAATTAACTATATATAGTTAATTAAAACATATAAAATAACTTTTCAGGAGTTTTCTTACCTATCATCCTAAATTATCCACAAATCATCTTTCCTTCAAACCAAATGGCTCTGTGCCCTTTAACCTTTCCCCAAGAGGCGCTGCTCTCTGGGTCTTTCATTTCATCAGTGAGACCTTTGTGCTCTTTTCCCATCTTCCTCCAGTAACCACACCTGAGCACATGCTGGATGCCAAGATGCTGATGCTGATGCTGATGCTGATGACCGTGGAGTCAGTGTGAACACTCACACAGGCATGGTCATCTCTCGTGGTCAGACCGTTTATACCCTGAATGAGGGTGCCCCATTCGGATGTGGCAGAAACAGGCCTTAGCTGAGCCCCACATAATGCCCAGAGCAAAGGCCATTCTCAGATTCACACAAAACCCTTGCCTGGAATAAGACAGCCCTATCAGAGTGAACGAGGACCACAGGGGGACCAGGCATCTCACCATGGTCGTGGAGGCAGAGTAATGGTTGTCACTGCCAATGTGACACTGCCCATCGTTGGGCAGGACAATGCCTGCCAGCCTTCCATCCAGTGCAATGTGGGTCTTGGCATCGGTGGTGAACACCAGCAAGTGGGATGCGTCATTCCTCCAGCCAATTTGTTCCTGTTAAAAAAAAAAAAAAAAAAAAAAAAAAAAAACACGGCAATTTCAGCTACATCATCAGTGCAAAACAAAGACCCCAGAACCTCCGTACCTAAAGAGCTGGATAAGCTGAATTGAAGAGGGAGCTCAGCCCCAAGCCTTGGAACATAAACTAGAACTTTCCACTCCAGGCTTTCTTCCCTTAATCAGCCCATTGTTGATTAGGGAGGGAGGCTGAGTCCTGCCTTCTTCAGCTCCACACATAACTCCTCCCATGACAGGAAGGCATCTGTATCCCTGGGATTGGCCCAGGCTAGAAGAAATCTCACCCTAAGATCTGCTCGCTTTGCTGAGGTCAAGTTAACCCAGGCTTGACTCTGAAATAATACCAGAACATGTGGGCCGCTGTTCTCCCTAGGAAAGGTCTGGGGTTACTGTGGTTCAAAGAGGTGTTAGCTGTGGCCTTGGTGTGGCTATAAAGAGAGACTGTGTAGCAGAAACAATTGATTACTCATACTGTACCAAGTCCTGCTTGGCTCCTCTCCCCCATCACACCGGAAATCCCCAACTGAACTGTTTCCTTCCCCGTTTTGAATTGTACCAGCTACACCTGGCACCCCTTGCCCTCCAAACTCACATCACAGACTGTAGCCTGCATGATGGCGTCAAAGCCACCCTCCGGGGCATCTCGGTTACGGGACACACTCTGTTTCTTCACTTCCTCGTTGAAGCGGGTCACCTGGTCAGTTAGCGTCAACACATGCTTGTAGCCAAACATTGGCAAACATGCAGTCTTCATACTGAGGGGAGTGAGAGGTCATCTTAGCAGAAGCTGTGGTGTAAAGGTGGTCTGAGGGTCAGGTAAAGAGAGAGGGACAGATATGGACAGTGGCATACCCAGACTAGGTCCATATCATATTGGGTTTTCTCTTTTTATTTTTATTTTGCAGTGCTGGGGATTGAACTCAAAACCTCATGCATGCCAGATAAAAGTGCTATCCCACAGCTGCACTCCAGTCCCACAGAACCACAATTACTGAGACAATTTAGACTTCAAGTCCTTCAGATTACCTATGGCACCACAATCGTACCCCCAGATAGCCAAAAGGACAGGAAAGGTAGCAATGAAACCAGACAAGACAGATTAAAGTCCAGCTCCCCATTTACCAAGCACGGGCTCTGTGACAGCCTTTCTAAACCTGCGTTCCAGAAAGTACTTGGGGCACAGCAACAAGTAAGTAATACACAAGCCAAATGAAGACAAGGGGTTGGAGGCGTAGCCCAGTGGCAGGTTTGTATATGGAAACATAATGGCGCTTATCTCATGAGAGCTATCGCAAGACCAAGAAAAGCAGTTACACAAGGGGAAGGCTCCAGCTATCATGGCTGGCATCAGCAACACTTCTTTTTTTTCAGTGCAACAATAAAGCAGGTGTCCAGCAAATTTACAGACCATGCTGTCCCCGGATGTGTTTTCTGGGGAAACAGATAGCCCAGACAGACGCTGAAAAACTGTGCCGTAGAATTGTTTAAAAGATAAAAAGAAAGCCCATGCCTTTCCATCATTTCAATATTCTTTATTTTTAATTACGTGGGGAGTGAGAATACGAGAGGGGAGAGGAAGAGAGAGGAGACAGAGACAGAAAGAATAAATGTGTGCAGACGCCTAGGGAGGCCAGAGACAGCATCAGATCCCCTTGAGCTGGAGCTACAGGCTCGGATTAAGAGCTACCCGACCCGGGTACTGGACTCTGGAAGAGCAGGAAGCATTCCTAACCATTGGGCCATCTCCCCAGCCCCAATGATCATCATTTTAAATAACTACTATCCATACATTTACAGTCTCCATCAAGTAAGCCATTCAATAGTAGACTGCTATAGCATGAACAGGAGATAGACTCGTGTGTTTGAATACTTGGTCCCCAGGTGGTGACACATTTCAGGGAGGCTGCAGAATATTTGTAGCATAGAACCTCGCTGGTGTAAACAGGATTATATGGCCAGGGCTCGTTTTGTTTGGATTGTTCCAGTCAGCTCCACTGCCAGCCCTTGTGGCATGTAGCAGGTAGCTGCGACAGGTTCCTGCAACCACAGACCAAGCCACTTTAGACTTCATGACTTATTTGTCATGATGGATTACATCCTCTGAGCCATGAGCCAAAGCAAACCTTACCCCATTTAAGTTACCTCCGCCAAGTGTTTGGTGACAACAGCAAGAAAAGTTAACTAATGCAGAGGCTAAACAGAGGCGCAGGGCTGAAGACGTCATTCAGCAGTAGGACGCCTGCCTAGCAAACATGAGATCCCAAATTCAATTTCTAGAGCTCCTCCAACCCCAAAGTTACGATGGGTTGGCACGTGCCTGTAATATGGCACTCGGGAGACTGAGACCTGCCTACGCTACATAGCAAAAATCTCTGTCTCGGAAAAAAAAAGGGTGTGAGGATTGGAGATATGGTTGAGTGGTTAAGAGCATTGGCTGCCTAGGCTAGTGGTGGCGCACACCTTTAATCCCAGCATTTGGGAGGCAGAGGCCGGTGAGCCTCTGAGTTCGAGGCCAGCCTGGTCTACAGAGTGAGTCCCAGGAGAGCCAGGGCTACACAAAGAAACCCTGTCTCCAAAAGAAAAAGGAAAATAAAAAGAGCACTAGCTGATCTTCCAGAGGACCCACGTTTAATTTCTGGCATCCACATGGTGGCTTATAACCATCTGTAACTCCAGCTCCAGGGGATCCAACACCCTCTTCTGGCCTCTGAGGGCACCAGGCACACACATGGTACACAGACGTGCATGATGCAAGCAAACATTGATATGCATGAAACAAAATTTAAACATATATATTTTTATAAAGGAGGCAAATAGAGAGAGGGAGAACTTAACTATTTATATACTGTTAAAAATTTGAAAAAGTGACTTAATTTTCTTGCATTTCAACTCTGGAAAATTTATGCTCTTGATGACTAGAATAATGAGACTAGAACCAGTTCTTCTGAAATCTTAGCGATATTTTCACTCACCGAGACCTCTCTCCACTCTTGACCTCATCCGCCCTGCACTTTCCTCTTCCTGTCTATTCATTTGGGACTAAGCCAATAAGCTAATGACATTTCTGTGTAGAACCCTAGCAGCCCCTAGCAGCTTTGAGCCTGTTGGCGTAATACTCCAGATAGTAAGCCCAGCTGCCAGGCAGAGAGGAAGTTGAAAACAACATGGCTTTACATAAAGCAGCCAACCAAACAACCTCCAAGGGGCTGGAGAGATGGCTCAGTGGTTAAAACATCTGATGCTCTTCCAGGAGACCAGAATTTGGTTGCCAGTACCAATGTTAGGTGACTCATAATCACCTGTAACCCCAGTCCCAGGGGATCTGACACCCTTCTCCAGCCTCCACAGTCAGCTGGCACACACAGACACGAAAACATACACGTACATAGAAATAAAAATAAATTTCTAAAGAAAATAAAACCTGGAGTTTAAAATGGCAATCAGGTCTTGGACCAGCCTGAGACAAAGGGAAGGGGTGCTTCACTGGCTTGTGTTACCTGTAGCAGGGGTTTTTGAGGGCCTCTGGTGGAGAGATGAACATGTATGGTGATACAGGCTTGTCAACGAAGGCCCCAAAGCCAATCCGAAGGTTGCTAGTAAGCTTGCGCATCTGGGAAGCCAACTTGGTACCCAGGGTCTGGATGCTTGACAGATCATCTTTCATGGAGAAGGACAGGTCCATCAAGTAGTAGATGTCTACAGGGTAATCCTCCACCTGCCGCACTTGAAGTGAAAAGATCTTCGAGTCATCTGGAAGACAAAAGGATGTTGGTTTTTCTCTCCTCCTCTCTGCCACAGGAGACAAATAGCCATCCGATCAAATTAAGCTTGAAAGTTTTGATTCCCACCCCACCCCCCCATTGTAACTCCATTCATCTTGCAGTCTCTTGAACTTCTTCCTTTCCATTCTGATTTCCCGCTATAAATCCTCATGTGTGTGACCCTCTTGGTCCTCAGATCTACTATCCCAAGTCAGACAACTCTTGACCGCAACTACAGGTCAGACTCTGTGAAGGACAGGAACTGTACTGGGTACGGTGGCACACAACTGTACTCTCAGCAAGCACACAACAGAAGCAGGGAGATTCCTGAAAATTCAAGGCCAGCCTGGGCTGTACAGCGAGTTTCAGGCTGAACAGAGGTCCCGTCTCAAAACTAAATAAATAGCACCCTGCTTTTCTCCAAATCCCATAATGCCTTGCATATAGTGGGGCTCTCTCCAGCTCTTACTGATTTATTCAGGCCAAACATTGACAAGCTTAGCCCAATACTCCTCCCTCTTTAGTTCCTACTTCATCTGCTCCTAACTAGTCCCTATCCCCTGTAGTGGAAAACAGGCTCACAAATTGGCCGGATGGTGGAGGCACACGCCTTTAATCCCAGTACTCAGGAGGCAGAAGCAGGAGGATCTTAGTGAGTTAGAGTACTCAGGAGGCAGAAGCAGGAGGATCTTAGTGAGTTAGAGGTCAGCCTGGTCTACAGAGTGAGTTCCAAGATAGCCAGGACTGTTACATAGAGAAACCCTGTCTTGAAAGAGAAAAAAAAAAAAAAGCTGCTGCAGACTAGATAAAAGAGGAGGCGGCATCAGAAGGGTTAAGTAACTAGTAACCAATCAAATAACTGGTAACAGGGTGGGCCTGGGATTCACACTCAGACCTTCTGACTCAAATCCTTACTCCTCTTATTTTCCTCCATTCTCCTACCCACAACTGCCCCCACTCCTCTTTCCACCCCATTCCTCGTGCATGCTGCCCCTTACCCCCAGAGTTCCTGCTCAGACCTTCTATGGATGTCCCTTGCCCGCTTGTGCTGGGTGTCTCCCCAAGATGAGCCCTGTGCCTACCTGGCCGCAGTCGAAGGGCAATCCTCTGGGGGCTGACTTGAGTGATCTGGGCACTGTCTCCAGAACCCTTGTCGCTGAGTGGTCTGTCCTCCAGGATCTGGGCCTCGCTGACTGGGAACTCAATGGACTCTGGAGCACAGCCGTCCTTCAGCAGGTTCTCCTTCAGGTTACAGCGGGGTGAGCCCTGGGGCAGAGCCTATGGAGACAGGAGCCCAAGGGGGGCCTGACATCAGAGCTAGCAAGGCTGTGTCTCGGCATGACACGTCACCTCCCAATGACTTAGATCTTACCCAGTCTTTTGAAGCTAATCTAGCATAGGAGTGCTGGGGTCCTTTCTAGGGACACACACAGCAAGAGCAAACAGGCTGAGTTAGTACCTGTTCGTGATTGACAGGTGAGAGGAGGGTGCATTAAGTAAGGCGTCTGGCAAACTAGTGCTTTCCAAATTGTGAAACAGAAAGCAGTCTGTGAGTCGCAAAATCGGGTTTACTATTGAATTGAATGGAATAGAAAATATCTGAGTATATAAATAAAAGTTTCCATGTAAGATGGGGAACCTGTTGTTTACTGGGGAATGGGATTTAGCATACATAATGAGTGATTTAGCATACATGATGAGTAATAATACATGAGGTATTTCTTTCTGTAGGTCAAGGTTAAAACCACTTACAGCTATTGTGTTAGATACTGGCTGCTTTATAAGGTCTTGGTTGTGCGCTTCCTGTCTCCCTCCTCACCGAGGACACAGGTGACAGAGGGGAGACAGGGAGGGTAAAGTGTAAGAGCATGGGAATGAACGAGCTGAGCTCAGACTGACCCCCAGTGTCCCCACTGACTGGGTACCAGAGCACGACACCCGGCTCTCGGAGCCCAGTTCCTTCAGTTGTAATGTGAAGGGTAAAAGTCTTCCTTGGCTACAAACAGCAATCAAACCACAGAGACAGAAGGGGAAATGACGGTTGCTGCGGGCTAGGGAGGAGTGGAAGGAAGAGTTGTTTAATTGGCCCAGAGTTTTAGTTTAGCAAAATGAAATTAAGTTATGGAGATGGATGATTATAAGGGTGTCCCATTACAAACAGATTTAATGCCACTCAAGTGTACACTTAAAATGGTTAAGATGGAAAAATTATACAGCGGAATGCTTAGGAGGGCTGGGGAAATGGTTCAGTCAGAAGTGTTTGCTGCACAAGGGTGAGGAACTGAGCTCAGCACATGTTTTAACAAAAGGGGGGGGGGTCTGCTGACACATGCCTGCAAACCCAGAGCTAGGGAGGTGGAGCCAAGAGCATCCATGGGGGCTTGCTGACCAGCTCGGTTAACCCTATTGCTGAGCTCCAGGTATAATGAGCAACCCTGAGTCTCAAGAAATAAGGTGGAGAGAGAAAGACGCACAAAATAGATCTTCACACACGTACACACCATACACACCCACACACACACACAGGTTAAGATGGTAAATTCTGTTATATGTATTTTACCACAATACGAAAAATTAGTTTAAACCAGGTGGTGGTAGCGCACGCCTTTAATCCGAGCACTAGGGAGGCAGAGGCAGGCAAATCTCTGTGAGATCGATGCCACTTGGCCTACAAGAACTAGTTCCAGGACAGGCTGCAAAGTTACAGAGAAATGCTGTCTCAAAAAACAAACAAACACAAAAAGAATTAGTTTAAAAAGAACTAACAAGAAGAACCCTCCCTCACAGGGATGTCATGCCAGGCTAAAAACGACCATGTATGTATACTGTAAGTGCTCAGTCAGCGTTAGCTATTAATATGAAGTGTTGATAAGGAATTCCTGAATGAGCTCCTTGTGAATAAGCCCCACAAGCTGGGAAACGACCATGAGGACAGGCTGTTGACCCTCCTTCGCCCTGGACGAAAACCACACTGACATAGATGCCCTCAGCCTCTGGAACTCTGTGTGTGCTCACATGCAAGAACTAACTGTTCTTGGAAGGACACTGAAATCAGAAAACAGGCCCCAGAGCTAGGTCACCGCTAGCTAGCCGTGTGACCCCATAGAAGTCACTTTGGACCTTAGTTTCCTGGGGTTAGGGAACACGATGCCCTCGGTTGGGTCATACCCCGGCACTAAGCGTACTTAACCAGAACTGCCTGAACGTATGTCTAGCTGGCACTTGCCAGGTCGAGGAGATTATCTGAAAGCTGACACACCCCCACCTGGTCCTATTTCCCAATGTATAGGTCTTCAGACTTTCCTAACAGCACCTTCCAAACCATGTTCCCCCCGCTCAAAAAAAAAAAAAAAAAAAAAAACCTAGTCAGCTAACTTCTTCAGGCCTCAGATTTCTAGCCTACCAATATTCCCAAGCTACTGTTAACATTTACTGAGCACTCTCTGCAGCTAGGCTGGGACAGGACGCCACAAACCACTGCAACGCTGATGGCCTGGTCAGGCGGGAATTACTCATTCTTATTTCACAGGTGAGGCTTCACCAACGAAGAACACAACTTTCTGGGCTAGAAACCTGAGGCCTGAAGAAGTTAGCTGACTGCCCAGAGTCGCAGAACGTGGGCGCCACACAACTAAGATGCCGCCCAGGCTTTCTACCTGTGAGCAGCCTCATAAAGGAAGTTTTACTGCATTCCACAGAGAATGTAATAAAACGCAGTAAAGCTGGTTGGGAGGAATGGTCCTGGGAGGAGCCAGAGCAAAAAAATGCCCCGGGCATTCAGAGAACAGGATGGGAGATAGAGACCTGCGAAGTGTGAGGAGAGATGGGCAATATCCTCCATGTCCAGCTATAGAGAACCTGGGCACCAGGACACCTGCAGAGGGATCAGGCCACAAGAGACACCCACATTCTAAAGATTCTAAAGATGGGCAATATCCTCCATGTCCAGCTATACAGAACCTGGGCACCAGGACACCTGCAGAGGGATCAGGCCACAAGAGACACCCACATTCTAAAGATGGGCAATATCCTCCATGTCCAGCTGTGCAGAACCTGGACATCAGGACACCTGCAGAGGGATCAGGCCATAAGAGACACCCACATTCTAAAGATGGGCAATATCCTCCATGTCCAGCTATATAGAACCTGGGCACCAGGACACCTGCAGAGGGATCAGGCCACAAGAGACACCCACATTCTAAACCTCAAAAGGTCCCCTTTGAGGAGTTGAAGACCTGCCCTGTGTAGGTGGCAAAAGTAGCAGTGTAAGCATACAGATACACAACACACACACACACACACATACTACACACACACTAGACACAGTCCACCTTCACACACAAACATTCTACCCTTACCCACCTCTCTAACACACACACATATACACATTCCACCCTCACACATACACACTCCACCCTTACACACACACACACACACACAAACACACACATACTACACACACACTAGACACAGTCCACCTTCACACACATACACATTCCACCCTTACACACACACACACACACACACACACACACTACCCACACAGTACACACACACACACACCACCAATCTTATCTGTGATTCCCACTTCCCACAGACCTCAGAGAAAACCTTCCCGAAAAGGCAATGATTAGATCACCGAGCTGCCAGAGAAGCTGAGCCTCTCCAGAACAAGACAGAGACAGGAGGGGGAGACCGGGAAGGGGGGACCAGAAAGCTGAGGGAGGACTGCAAGCCCACCAAGAATCCTCAAGCTCTGCAAGGGGACCATGCTCTGGGTAGAGGCTTTCCTCACTCCTACTTCCTAACTGCAGTCTCCATAAGCAGAGAGCTACAAGCTCACATGTGCTGACAGTTGTTATGCTTTCTACGAACGTCCCTAGAAAAATCAAAATAAACACTGAAAAATAAAAATAAAAAGTAAATGGAAAAATAAGACCAGGCTGTCTCCCTCCTTTGGTGATCGCTGAAGTCAGAAGTCAGAAACCTAACAGAATCCTTGGCCCGGCTCTTCCTGAGAGCCTCCTGCCCTGGGAAGATACCAAAGATACCAAGGCGATGTCCTCAACACACTTGGCCACATTCCCACCCCAGGCCCAGATTCGAGAAGGGCTATCTCCAGGTCATTCAAAGAGAAAACTAGAAACCGGGTTGATGTTAACTGTTCTAGTTCCCACCCAAACCGGATGCTACACAAAAGAGTCAAGCCCCACCCCATGGTGGGGAGAGATCACCCACAGAGGTAGGAGGCTGTGGGGCGGGGCTGAGCTCTGTGAGCTGCTGGATCCCCTCCCCTCCTGAGAGACTGACACATTCTATTAGGTCCAGGCCCCCTTAATTCTGTTTGGGAAAAGTACAGCATGAATAATAGTCCCTGTGATCTCTGTCTCACAGGGCTGGGCAGGGGCTAAAATAAGACTATGAGATGATTTCAAAATCCAAAGTCTCAGTGTGAGTCAAATATACTCAAATCCTCTGGGGGTCCCGGGTAAGGGGCAGAGGCCGCTTTCCTGAAGTCATCATTGTAACGGCCACTGTACGGTGTGCTCTCTCCTGGGGGAGGCAAGGGTTTGAAGTTTTCTCCTTTTTTTCAGTACTAAGAGTGGACATGTATTCCAGGCTCTGTCTACCACAGAGCTATCTCCCTGGGCCCACTCCGACACTGCTGTCTGATTGGCTCACTTAGTAAGGGTAGGAAATTACCTGAACACAGAGAGAAGCTTGGAGACAAGATAAAGGAAAACAAGGCGTTTTAGTCTATAGCTGTCAGGACTCACGCTTTGTTGGTGACGAGGACACACTCTTACCACTGTGTTATTTGTTTGAGGTTTGTCTGTTTGTTTGTTTTGTTTTATTTTTATTGAGGCAGAAGTTCATTTAGCCCAGGCTGGCTTTGAACTTCTATTGTTGTTCTATTGGCTTTGAACGCTTCATGTGTGTAATGCAAAAATTACCTTGAACTGTTTTTATGGTGTATATGTGTATGTTATTTGTTTTGTTTTTTTGTTTTGTTTTGTTTTTTTTTTTTTTTTTGGTTTTTCGAGACAGGGTTTCTTCTGTGGCTTTGGAGCCTGTCCTGGAACTCGCTCTGTAGACCAGGCTGGTCTCGAACTCCCAGAGATCCACCTGCCTCTGCCTCCCGAGTGCTGGGATTAAAGGCGTGCGCCACCATCGCCCGGCTTATATGTGTATGTTATGCACACAGACACATGCATGTGTAAGTGTGCCTGTGCACACACACGAGGAAGCCAGAGGAGGATATTGGATGTCTTTCTCCATCCCTCTCCACTTCCCTTTCTTTTTTTTAAGACAGAGTTCGCCATGTAGCCCTGGCTGCCCTGGAACTCCTTATATAGATCAGGCTAGCTTCAAACTCAAAGAGATCTGCCTGCTTCTATTTCACCAGTGCTGGGATTGAAGGCGTGAGCCCCCACAGCCAGCCACCTTATTTTTTGATAGAAGGTCTCTCAGTGAATCTACAGTTCACTGCTTTGGCTAAGATGTCTGGCCAGCAAGCTCCTGGGATCTACCTGTCTCTGCTCCTCAACCCTGGAATCACAGGCACGAGTGGCTATTCCCAGCTTTTCCAGGGGTGCCGGGGACTTGAACCCATCTCCTCATGCTTCCACAGCAAGTCCTCTTACCCACAGAGCCATCTCCACAGCCCAACCCTGAACTTCTGCCTTCACCTTGATCCTCCTACCTCTGCCTCCTGAGGACCAAGATTACAGGCATGTGGCTGCCACGCCCAGTTTATGAAGTACTGGGTTTAGCCCAGGGCTTCATACGTGTAATACAAACACTCTACCAACTGAGTTACATGGTCAGACTTGCTGTCTTAGTTGAGGCGTCTTTGCTACGAAGAGACACCATGACCATGGCAACTCTTATAAAGGAAAACATTCAAGTGGGGTGGCTTCCATTTTCAGAAGTTTAGTCCGTTATCATCATGGTGGGACATGATGGCATGCAGACAGACATGGTGCTGGAGAAGTAGCTGAGAGTCCCATAGCTTGCAGGCCACAGGAAAAGAACTGTCTCACTGAGTATGACTTGAGCATTATATAAGACCTCAAAGCCTGCCTCAACAGAGACACACTTCCTCCAATAAGACCATATCTACTCCAACAAGGTCACACCTCCTAATAGTGCCACTCCCTTTGGGGGCCATTTTCTTTCAAACCACCACACCTACTATAATTTTTTTTCTACAATAACAAATTTTGGGACAAACTCAAGGTAGATACCTTGTGCTCCAAGTTATAAATAAATAAAAAGAAACTACAGACATGATCACGAAACGCTAATACACCACACACACACACACACACACACACACACACACACACGTGTGTCCTGAGCCTTTCCCTGCAGATGCAGAGAAGGAAGTCCTACTGGAGTCTTCTCCTTTCTAGTCCCAAACCCCATTCTTCCCCTTTCATTCTTGGATGTCAGGTTGGGAGCTGGTCCACCTTGCAACATGTGCTCAGGCCTGTGCATCAATTCCCAGCATTTTGCCCTTTTAGAAAGATGGCCAAATTTAGAAAATATCCAAAGCATACCAAGATGAAAAATGGTTTAATCCAACTTGGATTGGGTACTCTGTGTTTATATGGCAACCCCAATTCTACCTCCACCCACCTTGTCCAGTCCCAGCCTCCACCAGTAGCTATGATATCCCCCTTGCTACCATAACAATCTGTTCTGATGCAATAGGTCCAGGGTCCATTCTGGGAGCCGTTATATTTAACAAACACTTCATATAGCTTTGGAAAGTTCTAGACTCCAGTGTGATACCACGTAAGACAAGATTACAAGGTCTAACGCTGTGTGAAGCCGGGGTCTTCGCTAGCTGTATAGACCAAAGAGAGCACATTGCCCAAACCCATGTTATCTAACCATGGATCTATCTATCTGGCCAAGAACACACCCTATGCAGATGGGCCCAAAACACCCCACTCATACACACTGGCTCTATTTTCCTCTGACCCAGCCAAGTGCTTACTATACACACCCAAGAGCTGCTATCCTTTAAGGACCAGAAGCTGAGCCCAACCAGTTGTTTTCAGAGGCACTGCCAACATCAGCACCGCCTGAGACAGTCAAGGCAGGGGAGGCAGGGGGCTCTGCAGCACCCCCAGCCCCACCTTTGGTTGTTTTAAGTCAAAATCCAAACACTTTCAAGACTTAAGCTTGCCCTGTGCAAGGGAAGCCCTCAGGGAACAGATAAGAGCCATGTTCTCGTCCTAATCCAGGGTTCCTCCCTGTTTGACACATTCTGTCCCACATCAGACTCCCCGGATCCCGTTCCTCCTCCTCACTTAGTGATGTTAGATGTCGTCATCCACTGTGTTCCATTCTTTCGTTTCCTTTGGTCCTAACTGCCACCCATTTCCTGACTCCACCCCATCAATAATAGGCCAGTCCTCCCCCAGCCTCTCTACCTCTGGCCCCTCAGTCTGCCCCACAGGGCAAAGATTCACCATAGTGACCGATAAATATTCCGAATCTGTTCATACGAGCTAAGGAAGGGCTTCGGCTGGTCAGGGCCCAGCTCTAGCTTGTCCCCTTAAGACCCAGATGGGTAAAAATAGGGAAGAGAAGAATGGGACAGGGCTGGACCCTCCTCTAAAGGACAGACTCCCCCAAGACTCCCTTGCCTACAATAACTTCAGGTTGAAAGGGAGGGGAGGAGGGGGAAACGTCTTTTGAGCCTTTTGAGCAACACTAGGTCTTCTTCAGGGAGGTCCTCTCTGCTCCCCTCTGCTCCAGCAAGCCAACCTCTGGGGCAGCCAGTTCAACAAGACACCCTCCACATCCGACTCCTTCTCCTGGGATTGTTACAGAATTACAACTTCCCTAGAAAGGAAGCTTCACAAAGCCATGATGGCGAGCAAAGGCAAAAGGATATGACAAATGAAAAGGGAGAAGCCACGCCACACTTAAGCCTCTAGCGCAGCCCAGAGGGGAGGGGCACATGCGGGGGTGGAGAAGAAGGGCTTACCCTCCCCAAGCCCCAGAGAATGTTTCATTTGCTAAATGAGATCAGTCTGGCCCAGATGTTAGACAGCTGCCTCTAGAAGCGGTTCCCGTGCTGAACAGTGCAGAGGCCAAAGCTGTGTGTGAGCCGGCTCCTCGGAGGCTCTGGCAGCCTTCCTCTAGGGGATAAACACAGCCTTCTGCTCCCTTCCTCCCCAGTCTGCCCAGGAGACTGCCTTTTTAGGAAACTCGGAGGATCCAGAAGAGAAGCAGACAGAGTGAGGGGAGGGTTAGGCTGGTCAGGGAGCTGACCACAGGTGGCTCAGGAGCCAGCTAGCAGCTCAGGTGACATCTGCTGGGGGTAGTGACTCATTCCCTCTGTAACTGCTGGGAACCTCTCCAGGCACATGCACCTCCCCTACCTCCCGCATCAACCTTTGCCAGCTCCCAATTCCCAGCCCGGCCACAAACACAGCATTCCCTCAGACACACTCATTCCCTAGGGCCTCAGACACAGCAAACTCTCTGTCAGACATGGCTGACCCTCTCCTGTGGGCTGTGCTTGTTCCCCCATTGACACCTCAGGGAGGGAGGGAGGGAGGGAGGGAGGGAGGGGGGAAGGAAGGAAGGAAGGAAGGAAGGAAGACAGAAGGGCCTCATCATCAAAGAGAAGGAAAAGGGATCTCTAAGAATGTGTTTGCACGCGTGCACATGCACACACACACACCACACACCACACACACACACACACACACACACAAACAGAGGATTGCTCTTCAGGTTTTAGCTTTGTTTTTTCACTCTGGGGGAAAATAAGCATCCCTCCACAGCACCCTCTGTGCACCCTAGCACCCCTCTCTCATTTCGAGACTAAAGCCCTTCTTCCCTGAGATGGTCTAGCCCAAAGCAAGCACAGCCTGGTGAAGGGTAGCAACAGTCGCTACAAGAAAAGAGGCCCAAGCAAACTGGCTGGGCCTAGGAGTGCAAAGCAGGCTCTAGACTCAGGTACCGGCTTCCCACCATACAGCAATGGGAAGGCTTCACCTAGTCTTGCTCCACAGGGGAAAGAGACTGCATTCAGGAGGGAGGAAAGAGTCCCATGTGTCTGTGCTTACACAAAAGCACCTAAATCTAGGGAAACGGGGTGTGAACTGAAGTTTGGGGGGCATACCCATGTTGATCATTCTACAAGGCTAAATGAATGCTACAGGTTGGGAGTCAAATTATTTGGAGCTATATTATCCCCCTAAATAGACATCTGTCACCCACATCTGGGTTAAGATGTCAAGTAAAATCCTTTTGGGAATTTGCAAACAGACTCCTAGCTCGCACCAACCCAGAGGCTAGGAGTGCTATCTAGTGCACCAGAAGCTTATAGCAGGGACTCTGCCTCTTTGCTGCAAACCACCATACCTTATGTCTCACGGATGTGTTTTTAAAACACCTTGGTTTGTTACTTTCTTTGTTCTGTTACAATAAAACCTTTATTAAACTGGTCATCCTGTTGGGAACACAGCATTTGAAGCAACCTAAATCCGTGTACCTTGGCCACTGTCACTTACGCTTGGCTCCGGAATAAACTTCCTCAGATTCCTTTGGAGTGAGAGCATTGACAAAATAAGGTGCAGGCTCCTTACCTCATCTGAACACCAGGCACACGCAGGGCTCACAGCCAGACACTGCTGACAGGAGTTCACGCCTCGGGTGCTACAGATGTTGGACTCTACAATGAGAAGACAAAGAAAGACGTTAACACCTCATTTGCTCAAGGCAGGGACCATCCTACCCCAACTACCCCAAATTTCTCGAACACTCAGGTGAACATTTCCCAGGTACACACAAACATGCCCTAACTTTACCATGGACATTTACCAAACATGGGCTATTGATAAGCAAGAAAGAAAATTAAAAAGATGGGGACTCATTACCATATTAGTAGGGGAGGCCACAGTGACAGCAGCTGATGGCACTGGGCCACAGACAAAAATGTCTTATCAGAACCAATAGGATGGCTTTAATTAGTGATGGTTTTATACCTACACTGGACAAATGAAAATCCTAGGCCCAGAGTTATGACCAGGGGCCTTCTCCAGCTGTCACAGCCACTGCACAGAGGACCTAGGCCCAGGTGCACTACAGCTACACCTAAATACTGTGGTGGTGGGGTAAGGTAACTTTAATGGCTGTGTCCCACCGTCTCAACAGATGTCCCAATACCTCTGTCTTGGAGGCCAAGCATTCGATGAAGATCGGTTCCTTCTCGCTTTTCCAGTTGCCTGTTAGTTCTCTCGCCCAGTTTCTGAAGTGCCTCCTTTGCCTATAACTGCTATTTCTGGCTTTGTCCCCAGCAAATCTATTTCTGAAGAAATTATCCTAAGTAGTTGGGGGTTTTCCCAAGACCTCCAAAACTCCTCATCTAGGCAAACATCTGTTTTATTATGACTGGATTCTGTCTCTCTCAACATCTAAACAGAACACACTCAGAAAATGACCTGCCCTGGTCAGGGACTAGCTGCACCTTTTGTTTTGTTCTGGCTTGGTTTTTCAAGACAGGTTTTCTCTGTGTAGCCCTGGCTGTCCTAGAACTCACTCTGTAGTTCAGGCTGGCCTCAAACTCAGAAATCCACTTGCCTCTGCCTCCTCAGTGCTGGGGATTAAATGTGCTAACGCTGCCTGGTGACTATCTGTATCTTTGTCTTGACCGATCAGGGTATCTTACAACTTTTACTGGTAGAGATTAACACAGAAAATTTATGATAATGTAAATCTATTTTTATGAGAAAAATGCATGTGAATCTCTTCTAACAAAATGACCAATGGTGTCTACCTGGTAGAGAAAATAAGTAAGGCTAAAGCTGACTGTTTTACAGACATTAGCCTGCTTTTAAAAACCCAATGGCTAATTCATTTCCATATGTCTGGCCAGCTATAAAACCCCCTTCCTGAATTCCCTTTGGAACCAGTCCCAATGTCTTTCTGGTTCCCATACTATTTCAACTGACTAAAACTTTTGACAGATGCTCTTCTTGTTTGTATATATGAAAATAATACCTTTTCAAATTACATTTTAAGAGCCTAGAAAAATATTTCATGAGTACAATGAATGTTTAGCATATACGTGGCCCTGCGTTCCATCCCCAGTACAGAAATAAAATAAGAAAGGAGGAGGAGGAACAAGGAGGGGGGAAGAAAAAGATAGGTCCATGGAACCCTTGAAGCCTGCCTGTCTACCTGTCTGAACCAGTCCAAAGACATACTGGTGCCAACTGAAAGGTTTGGGGCTAAATAGTTCTATCTCATTGCCGCTGAGCTCATTTCTAAACAGTACACCGGAATTCTAGACTAAAACCTGTAGGCCAGGATTAGTAGTGCATACCTATAACCCTAGCAGTCGGGTGGCTACAGCAAGATTAGGGTCATGAGCTGGAGCCAGCCAGTTCTACATTGCAAGTATGAGGCCAGTCATAGCAAGAGTCTATTTCAATATCTAGTATTACATTTAGATATATAAACACATAAACCATACATATATCAGTGGAACCTCAGACAATATAGACGATCATGAATCTCTTCAAAACACTGGGTTGCACATGGAATCCTTGAAGCACCGCTTCAGGTTTCTTCGAAGGCTTGGCTCCATCTTGCTTCCACAGGCTTTCTCTACTCCAGGTGTCACCAATGAGACAACACTACAAGCCCAAGAATAACTCCCAGAGCTCTATTCTCAGACATGAATAAAACCTGAGTGTGTGCATATGTGTGAGTGTGTGTGCAAGAGTGAGATAGAGTGTGACTGTGAGTGAGTGAGCCTATGTGTGTGCATGTGTGTGTGCGTGTGTGTATGCGTGTGTGTGTGAGTGTGTGTGTGTGAGAGTGTGTGTGTGAGTGTGTGTGTGAGTGTGTGTGTGCGTGTGTGTGCGTGTGTGTATGCGTGTGTGTGAGTGTGTGTGTGAGAGAGTGTGTGTGTGAGTGTGTGTGAGTGTGTGTGTGAGTGTGTGTGTGTGAGTGTGTGTGTGAGTGTGTGTGTGAGTGTGTGTGAGTGTGTGTGTGAGTGTGTGTGAGTGTGTGTGTGAGTGTGTGTGTGTGAGTGTGTGAGTGAGCCTATGTGTGTGAGAAAGACAGTGGGTGGGTGTGTGTGTGTGCACGCACAAGAGACAGAGCTCGTGAGCTAGCAGCTGTGGCACCGATTCCAAGCCTGGCCCCAGCACACCAAAGTGGGGCAGCCCTCAACAACACAATGTGTAACAGAGAAAAGGTAGTTGATCTTTCCACAGATGCCGGCCAGGTTCCGAGCCTACAAAGCCAACAGTGCCACCCAAGGCTTCTCCCTCAAGCGCAGCCTGGCAGGATCTCAGCTTCACTGCTGTTCTCCCCCGGGGATACGGTCAGAGCCCCTCTTCATTAACCCCATCAGAAGAGTTCTGACAGGAACCCATCCTGGACTATTTTAGGTAGTTTTCCTCTTAGGGGCATTTCCATGGAGACTAGCAGCTAAGAGTGACCCTGGACATAAATATCATCAATGTTCACTAGAAAGAGAGGAAATAGTTAAAATGAAAAGTGTAGGTATATGGGTACTGTCAAGTTCTTTTTTATTACATGCATTTGTTTTGAGAGAGAGAGAGAGAGAGAGAGAGAGAGAATGAGAAAGAATGTATGAACACGTATGCCACAGTGTAGAGACCAGAGGACAACTCAAGACAGTTAGTTCTCCCTTCTGCTGGGTAGGTCCTGAGAATCAAACTCAGGCTTGGCAGCAAGCGCCATTACCCTCCTGAGCCATTTCAACAGCACAGCCCAAGTTACTTTCAAAACCTTTCCCAGTCTATCCATTTATCCATTCATCCATTCTAAAATTAGCATTCCCTATGAGTCCTTGACTTACAGCTGCAATAGAAAGCCTGGCCAGATGTGAAATAAAAAACAGCAGGCCCCTCCCAGGGTACCAGCAGTCCCTGACCTCAGAGGATGAGCCGAGCTGCGGGGATCTGTCCTTTAGGAAGTCGTGGTTACCCTCGTCCCTTGATCTTTTATTTTTAATGAATTCCAGATTGAAAGTGTAAGACCCAAGGATCCCCCAACAATCTCCCCAACCAGCCCTGCCACAAAGGGCAGGAGTCCTGGAATGCAGTGGTTGAAAGTGGCTGACTCGTCAGAAGTTAGGACTGCTGCTCCCAGGCTGTCCCTCCCTTCTGAACATGTGGGCCTCCCCCAGGCCTGTTTCCAGTCATTCATAAAGCCTATATGCCTTCTCGGCCTCTGTAGTCCAGAGGGGCTTCCTGGAGAAAAGGGGAGCCTCACCAGAATGTCAGTGAAGACAATGGATGACTCCCAAGACTTCACCCAAGGAGCCAAGCAAGATTGGCCAGACCTGGTCCTCAACAGGAGGTTGTAATGCTTAAAGGACCATCCTTGAAAGCAAGAGCTGGCATGCATAAAGTGCTCAATGGAGATTGTTGCCAGCGTTGTTTTTGCTGTGGCCATTTTTATCCTTAGCTTCAAGCTATTTAGAGTAGACAACTATTTTACTTTTTTAGAATTCCTTAAAGTCATTTTATAGGACACCAGGCACAAAGCTAATTAAACCCTGAGCAGGGGGTTAAAGATGGGAGTATGGAGCCAGAAAGTATCACGATGAGGTGAAAATCTAAACAGAGCAAGGAATGTGTGTGTTCAAAAATCCAACCTAGGAACCATGGCCGAGAAAAGACAATCACTGGGAAAGTCAGATGAGGCCAGCCAAGGAATCTGCCTGGAAAGTAGAAATAAAAACGGCTGTGGTCTGGCACATCGGCCTGGTTTGCAGAACCAGAAAAGAGATAAAGGGTGGGGGAAAATAGGCAAAAAAGAAACGAGGAAGGGAGCTGGAACCAGGGGAAGTCATAAAAGGCTGTGCTGAGGACATACCGTCCAACGAGACAGGATGTCAAAGAGTAGAGACAGGACGCCCTGATGAGGCCAGAGACCTTCAGGGCTTAGTCAGGGTGAGAAAGGAAGATGGTCCACACTAGTGAGCACCATGGAGACCTTTCCTACTGCCTGCCAGAGAAAATTCCTGGCCAGGAGCCTTAATCCTGCCACTGAAATGTAGCTGCTTCCCAGTGAGGTCCATGGGGATGCTAGGTGACCAGGTGGTGCCTGATCTTCCATTGCAGGCTCCGGAATGAGTCAACGAACAAAGTCTCTCACGCTAATGGCCCTATGTGTGCACACATGCCTTACCAAGCACACGTTGCGAAGGATGTTTTGGGTTTTTATTTCTCCCTTAAGGGGAGCTCAGCAGCTGAAGGAAAGAAGAAAGCGGAGGCGCTCAAGGCAACAGGGACTTCTGTGCTAAGGAGCAAATGGCCCAAGAAGCAGTGCAGAGGGGGTAGAGAACTCAGACTCCAGTATCTCATCAAATTGAAGACCATGGATGCAGGGGTATCTGATTTCAGAGTTTAAATCATTTTAAAGTGTACCAATGCCAATTAAATGTGGAATTTAATAATAGAAATTATATGTGGTTTGCCTCCATCAAGAGTAAGTATTAAAATATGTTATGGGTTTGAATATATCCCCTGACACACAAAGATAATCCTGCTGTCCTAATCCCCCAGTACCTGTGACTGTGACCTTATTTGGAAATTTATAGATGTAAACAAGATGAGGTCATTAGTGTGGACAGTAATCCAAGATGACTGATACCCTTGTAAGAAGGGAAAATCCCAGGTGGAAACAGAC